TGCCAAACAATATTTCTGAAAATGTTGAAGAACTTTCACATGTAGAAAAAGAAATGTCTACCATTGATGATGAAATACCAAACAATATTACTGAAAATGATGAAGAACTTTCACTCCCAGAAAAAGAAATGTCAACCATTGATGATGAATTGCCAAACAATATTTCTGAAAATGTTGAAGAACTTTCATATGTAGTAAATGAAAATTCCATTGTAGAAATAGATTGCTCATCTATTGGTGATGAAACATCAAGTAATGTTTCTAGACATATTGAAGAAGAAGAAATGTCATCTAGTTGTAATGATGAAATATCAAATGTTTCTAAAAATATTAATGAATCTAAATCTATTAAAAAATATATTCAAAATAATGTGTCTAAATTAGCCAAATTACCAGTTAACAAAGAAAAAGATCATTTTAATAAAGACAATAATTTAGAACACGTTCAAAATTTATCAGGTAATAAAAGAAAACACTCAAATGTACAAAATGTTCTAGAAATAGTCAAAAAACCCGTTAACGTAAAAAAGAGTATTATAAATGTACCAGATAGTGTTGTTGATACTGCTGAAAAATGTAATGAAGATTTAGTTCAAATTGATATTCAAAACAGTCCAGGGGTTACCAAAAAATCTTTTTGTAGTAAAAAAAAGCACTTAGATGTACAAAATGTTTCTGAAATTGTCAAAAAATTAATTAATGTTACAAAAGTTTACTCGAATAGCCAAAATGATGTTTCAAAACATTTTAATCTACCAATTGATCAATCTTCATCAATAATAGCTCCATTTATGCCTCTAGTTCCAAATTCTAGTATCGATACAATTGGAGCTACAAGTTTTCACCTTAATGAAAATGTATCTGAAAATAACAAATTACTCGAAAAAGACCAAACAAAATCATTGAAAAACAATGAATTATCATATGTAAAAAAAGAATCTTCTACTGAAAACATAAATAATACTATAATGAATGCTATTGAGTCGCAGTTAAGTGAAATTGACAGTGATAAAAGCACTTGCTCTAATTTTAATGAAAAAGAAACTATTTGTGTTGCTTCATTGTCTAGTTTAAATAATGAGGATACACTATTATCAAATTCTATTGCAGTGGAAGGAGAAACTGATAATATTCATTTAGAAATAAATGAAAATGTTTCATTAAATTCTATTAATTCATCATCATATATCGAATCCTTAAAAGATGAAACTGCCACAGCATCAAATTTGATTACTTCTGTTAAAGATAATATTAATGTTACAGAAGTATTAACCAAAACAACAAACACTGAAAATGGTACCATAAATATTAATAATACAAACAATTTAAGTAGTTCATTAATCAGAAAAAGCATATGTCATAATAATAAATCAATTGAACTATCAGAAGCTATAGGTTTGGATATTCTTTTTATAAATAAAGATGGAAGTGGTTCCCAAAACTCGGTGCAAAATAAAACCACTATTTTTAGTGAATCAAAACGTTCTCCTATTACGAAGAAGTCTTTAGTGCTAGATAAATCAAATAAACTCACTAAAAATACATTGAATGATGATCCTCAAAATAATGAAATCAGTTCAGCCAAAACAATATTATGTTTATCTTCTGATTCTAAAGACTTGGAACATGAAACTTCTACAAATCTAGAGCAAACATTTGATGCATCTATTGGTAAACCTAAGTTTGAATCCACTCCTTGGAATGGATCTAAAAGTTCAAAAATTATACAACCTGATTTATATGCTGATGTTTCTGAAAATAATCAACAGCAAAGAAAGAGGAGTCGTTCAATAACACCATTAAATGATCTAGAATATTGGTCACAAATGATGAGAGATTTTAATGAATCTGTCAAAAAAGCATCATATTCTGAATCGAAAATAAATTTTAATACATGCAATCAACAATCTGATAAATGTAAAATTGCAACTCAATTGACAAATCCTCTCAATCGTTCAATCATTAAGAAAACAAAAGCTACAAATTCCTCCCCCAAAAATACTCCTAAATCTTCAAATGTTTCCCAAAGACAATCCACTAGAAGTAAAACAAAATGTACATCATCAGCCGATGTAAAAAAAATTTCCAAAAGTCAGTTACTTCATCCAACTATTATCATAGGTAGAGATGACATTAATAAAGCTAATAACAAGCTTATGATGAAAGATGAAACAAAATTTACACAGAAAGCGATAAAATCAAAGTCTGATATTATAACTACAGATTCTGAAAGTGAATGTAACTCTAATAATAGAAAAACCTCTGTAAAGTCTTTAAACATATCTGGTATTAGTAAAATAACAAGAACAAAAAGGAAACTTAAGAGTTACACATCACCACAAAAAGTTTTAAGGAGTTCTGAAAATGACAAAAGTCCAGTTCAATTTTCAAATGTGTCAAGCAAAAGAATATCAACAAGAAATAAAAAGAAATCTATAAATCAAACATTACCAAAAGATATATTATCTTCTAGTTCTGAAAATGAAAATAGCTCTAACAGTGGTAAGAGTTCATTCAAATCTTCAAGTGTATCTAGTGGAAGGAAAAAATTGTCAAGTCCAATTAGACATACCAGAAGAAATTTGCGTACAAGAATGAATAAAAATGAATCTAATAAATCAATTAAAAAGCAGACAAGATCTAACACTATTGACAAGGATAAGTCATCAAAAACTAGTAACCCTAAAGTATGTCCTTCTGAGTCTGCTACTGAATTACATGCAATTAGAAACAGTGAATATTCTCTAAATAATAAATCCACAGAGAAGGATAATATTTTAGTTAAACCTAAAAAAAAAGGTTCAAATATTGAAATAAATACTCGTAAAAATAAAGTGACTGAAAAATCACTGAAAAATAAATCTCCTATTATGACTCGTATTACTCGAAGTAATACTACATTGATTGAATCCAATCCATCAAAATTGGATAAAAAAAATAAAACTTCGAGTCCAGTCAAAGATAAATCCTCTGAAGTTGTGAAAACAATTCAAAATTCAAAATCAAATAAGAAGGGTCGGTCTAAACGTATCCTACCATCTGAACCCATTAATAAGTATACAAGCGAGTGTGAATCAAGTGATAATGAAGAGATCATAGAAAACCTTCATTCGGTCAACAACCCAACAATAAAAAACAAAGAAAAATGTATTCAGTCAGATAATCATTTATCTTTATCATCAACTAAACGTAACCTTCGAGAAAGAGTTTGTGAAACTTCAAATGTTATAATGCAATTAAGCACACGAAGTCGAAAAAGAAATGCTGATATATCACCTTTCTCTCAGCCTATTGCTAAAAGTAAAAAATGTAATAATTCATCTAAAGTTGCTAGTACCACAATTTCCTGTGCTTCAAAATCTCCACAGAATCATTTGTCTACTAATACTAAACGCACCCGACAAATTTCAAAAATAACAGCAACACAAGACTTTGATAATTCTACAAAAGAAACTTTAACTGGTTCTAAAAAAGTGGAGAAATCGAAATCTGCTGAAAAAACTCGAGCTAAAAAACGTGTAATTAATTCTGAAGATAATTCTATTGACTTAGCCCCATCTACTAGAAAAATAATTAAAAAAGAAACTGAAAAAAAATTAACTCGTGCAACGTCTAAAAATTCTAATACCGATGAAGCTTATAATAGTACCAAAGTAAAGTTTGACAAGTAAGTAATTGATATTGCTACAATTAAAACATTAAAATTAGGAAAAACCTTTTTTTTTTCATGATGTATCTTAACAGTAAAATATGATGTAAATTATATTTTTTTAAATATGAAATTATAATTTTGTTGTAGTTCAAATTTTAAATCATAAAATATTAAGTATTTATCTAACTGAAAAGTTTGATTTAGGATTTTAATATTTCCTCTAAAATGTAATACAATTAAAGCACAATTGTTAGTTGAGTAACCATTTATATTTCAAGCTTGCAAAATTTTAACATATTTTAAAAATTTATATTCCTTTAATAAGAAATATTATGGTCTTCACTTAATATTTTAGTAAGATATTAGTATATTAGTTAGACATTATTACTATTAATTTCTTATTATATTTGAACTATTATACACTTAATTTAAAATTTTATATTTGATTGTTTTGAATATAAAATTACTGCCTATTAAGCAAAAGAGAAATAATTAAGGAACATTTTTTAAATATCTATAAAAAATCTCCATTTATTTCTAACAGCTTTCAAAATAAAAAAAAAAATTTATTTTTGGTTTACTATTTTAATAATAAATTAAATTTATCGAGTCCTTATGTAAAGTTAGGTTAGTACAAATTAATCTTCTAAAATTGTTGAGGACTTATAAACGTTCCATAAGTTTCTAATTTAATAATTCAATTTGGAAATCAACCATTACCTCTAGAGCTTAATAGAAATTGTGTTTATGTGTTTAGACTATTAAGTCCATTGACAATGTTTTATTGAATTAATTGTGTTTGAAATTTATAGTTAATTGTTTAATTATGTAGAAACATTAAAACTCGTTCCCTAACTAATAATAATTGGTTATAATAGCAAATAAACCAATTTTTCTATTTCTCTACACTTTCTGTATAAAAATAAACATTTACTAATATAATGGTTTTAATATATTATACCTAGAAGAAAACCAAAATCTTGTTTATGTTAATTTTATTGTAATATATAACAACTTAAAACTCAAAATAAATATTACTTAATAATTAGGATTTCCTAAGAAATCTATATTAAGAGCTACATTTTAAAACATTAAAAAGAAAATTAATCAATATTTTTTCTTTTTCAGAAATGTTGTTAAAAAATCTATTACACCTAAAACAATAAAAACAAGGTTAGTAAAAAAATTATTTAATGTCAAATCAAAGTGTAGTAAGTGAAATTTTATAAAATTAATGTTGTCAAAGGTTTTTTATAATTAAGTTTTATATTCTTTGAATGATCTGATGTTTTAGCGTTTATTTATCATACTCTATACTTAAACTAGAATTATAAACATTACCATTATTGATTATGGTCAAAATCAGATTTTAGTGTTACACCAATTTATTTTAATTGTATAAAACTGGTTTATAAGTGAAAATATTTGTAATAGTTATGAACAGGGTTAGGTAATAGGAAGGCTCAATAATAAGAATTAATAAGATAGTGGGTTAGTTTATCTCTAACTAAACTAAAATAAAAATTTTGCTGGGGTTATCATACTTTCATGACAGCACAAGTGAAATGTATTTGAATATTTACTACGTTTAGTATCGTCAATAAATAACAATTTATTCTGTATTACTACATATTACAATCTCTATAAAGTATTATTAATAAACATTTAAGATTTATATCTAATTTTATATTTGTCGTTAAATTCCATGTTTCATCAATTTGAACAGTTGACATAAATATTATGAAATTAATTATTTTGATCATTTTCTATAAAAAAATTTACTGTAGCTATTGAAAATATGGAATGTTGATAATTCAAACATGTTATAAAATATATAAAACCATGGTTATTTATTTCAACGATTAAAAACAAAATTGGTTTGATATTTATATATCTTTGAATTATTGTTTAGTAAGCAATGTATGGTTATAATTTTTTCATTTATTTTTAATAAAAGTTTTAAAAAAATTAAATTTCAGTAAAATATAATAATTAATGTTTTTTTTTTAATTTATTTTAGAAGTACGAGACACGCTGTTTCACAGAACAAATATTCCAGTCCTACGCCTCGTGTTCTAAGGTCCAGAAAATAAATTTATATAATAATTTTATTCTTAGTTATAAACTGTTTTATTTTAATATTTAATGATGCTGATTAAGTATGTATATTATTAATTATTTATGTTCATTTAAAATGTATAATATAAATTATGACGTTTTGTTACAATAATTATTATTATTTTTAATTTTTTTATCTATTCATTTTGAGATATAAAAGAAATTCATAAATATGTCTTAAGTATATTGTTTTAAATTTTAATATATAAGTATGTATTGCATATTTTGAAATTTTCAAATTCATGTTTTACAATTGGTACTTATTGAATAAATTATCATTAACGTCTAACCTCTTTTTATATATTATTGATACAAAGTAAATTAATAAAGTAATCAAACAAGTAACTTGATTCCTTATACATATGTGGCTGTTTATAGATTATTTTTTAATTTAAATTTAATGATATACATTGTAATTTTTTACTATAAATTTAAATGATGCCAATTTATGACTACCGGTGCTGATCTACTTAAAAACATACTCCTATTATCGAAAATGGTTATATTTTAATTACAATTCTTCCATCTAATAACACCATTCGAAACACATTTAAAAAAATATTGATGCACTATTTAGTATTAATTTAAATTCTTCAAATCAACATTTTTAACAATCAAAAATTAATACAAGTAAAAACTATCTTATTTTTTATATCGTTAGGTAAAAATGTAATATGTATACTTGAATTGTGATAAAAATTAGCAGAAATGAATGCTAATGATTCATGGTTTTTGTGTCAGGTTTCATGTACACATTTTTATTTCGGTTTTGATTGGCTGATTTTATTTGGTTTATGAATATTGTTTCTACATCCCATAAGACCACAGTGATCACAAACTCGGGCTAGTAATCACTGCATAATAATGGTAAAAATTAAATATTTTATCTGTTTATCTCTGTAATGTATCATTTTAAATGTAAAACAAGGCTAACGTGGACACAAGAACAAATGTTCTATTTCTAAAAAATTGAATTTCATGTAATTGTTTTAATTATTTCCAATTGTGATTTTGGGTATAAATATAAATAAAAAAACCCTATCAGGTCTAATATGTCTGCTGTTCATTTTAAGTTTAAACTTTTTATGCTGTCATAGAGGAATCTGGTTGAAAGTATTACTAACCACCTAAAGAAAATAAAGTATCATGAAATACTTTTATTTTGTCATCCTTAAACTCGTGTTTCTCGTTAATTTTGGTGCGAATGGTCAACCATTATTCCCAAATTTACCTACGGTAAGTTTCATTTGATTATTATTTAAAATATTGGATGGAGTGAACGTTCTACATTATGTAGGTATATCTATTTTTTCATCATATGTAAGTGCGAATGGACTGTTATTTTTGCGATGCAGTATATTCAGTGAATAACTATCGAGGTAATTAAATTACATTATGATGCTATTGTGTCCCCCGTATCATCAAACTATAGTTACATAACCTATTCAAATTCGGGAAAAATCGAAAATTTCATTCAATGTATATGTTGAAAGTCGTTGCGAATAGTATATTTTATAAAATAAGTCTAACCTATTTCAAATCAATCTCGTATTGCAAAAATATTTGAATCGTTGGTTTTAAAGGAAATTCAACACCCAGTTAATAATATTCTAATGGAGGAGCAACATGAGTTTCGTTCTGGTCGTTCCACTACAACATGCAATTTCCTATTTAATATTTTTGTATTTGAATCATTTCAACAGCGTTTGAACAGCAATTTGATATGGTTTATACTGACTTTTTAATAAAGCTTTCGATTTAGTTGATCATGAGGTTTTGATTACAATTCTTAGCAGTTATGACTTTGGTGAGCCATTTTTGTCATGGCTCACCTCATACCTTAGTGATCGATATCAATGGGTAAATATTTTTGGTACCAAATCTAAGCTGTTCTTAGCATTCTCTGGCGTTCCTCAAGGTGGACATCTGTCCCTCTTATTGTTTTCTCTTTTTGTCAACAATATCAACCGGGTACTTTGTCATTCTCGTATTCTGTGTTTCGCTGATGATATTAAACTATTCCTGCGTGTTGGTTCTATTGATGATTGTCTTCATCTCCAGAACGATCTGGATAGATTTGTAAACGGATTTAAAAATGTTGACTTATCCTTAAATGTTTCTAAATGTGAAATGTTCACTTACACACGTAGTCGTTCACCTATAATTTATTTCTATAATATTTTAAGCTTTGAAATTTTACGTGCTAATGAATCTGTTATTGATCTTGGATTCAAACTTACCAGCTCACTTGATCCACGACCACATATTGACATGGTATGTTGTAAGGCCTTGAAAATTCTTGGATTTATCAACAGGCTGGCTAGGGATTTTAAATTAGATTCATCATTTAAACTACTATATTGCACTTTAATACAACCTATATTAGAATACGGCGTGGTTGTTTGGAGTCCTTTTACTGCTAATGACTCTCTCCAATTTGAAAGAGTTCAGCGCCGGTTCCTTCGTTCTGCTGGTTTCTTATTAGGCATTGAACACCTCCACACGATTATTCAGCTGTGTCTGCTAAATTAGGTCTCGTGTCTTTAGTCGAACGCAGGCGAATGCTTTGTTTAAAGTTTCTAAAGGGACTGTTGTCTGGTCAAGTTGATTCATCTGATTTATTATCCTTACTTAATTTCAAAGTCTCTCCCCGTCAAAACCGTTCTAGTGTTCCTTTTCATGTTCCTATATGTCATAGCAATTATATAAAAAATGAGCCTATTAGGCGTTTAATGTTAATGGCTAATAAGGATCCCTCTATAGATCTTAAATATTGCTATTGTTAATCTTTTTCGTTTTTTAATATTAATCTGTTTTAACGACTTAAATCTAATAATCTTATTTATCTATCTTTATTTGTAATTAAACTTTAAACTCTGTTTTGATGTTATTGTATTTATGTATTCTGTATACATTTTCAAAAGGGTTTCAAACCCGTTTATTATTATGAAATAAAAATAAATAAAATTAACTATATATTTAGTATTATTCTTGAATTAACAAAAAAAAAAAAAAAAAAAATACAGTACACGGAAAAATAATAAGTCCTATTACAATTTATTTGAGTTGCAGGGTTCAATAAACATTGACACTTTAAAATTTTAATTTGCAAATAAAAAAAAAAGTAATTTTTTTTTTTTCAAATCGGAAAAATCATAAATGACCGGTGACATTATTTTGGCAGAAATCGTTTACATAAACGCAAATAATTTAAAAGTTAAAAACACAACAGTATTTTCTGAGAAGCCCGTGAAAAATCCTTGCTTCAATCAAATGTAGTTCCGCCTTTGGTACCTATCTAACCATGTACAAATTGGACAAACAATCTCGCGTCGTTGCAATTCGCGATTAACTAAAATATTGTTTCAACAATTAAGAAATTAAATGTACAATCAAATTTACTGATAATTTCTGACACTGCCTACTACACACGTATTATACAATTGTGTTAACTTCATAATTATTTTATTTAACTCAGGGAGAACATCGAGTATACTTCAAAGCCATTATAAAATGTAAGAATAGTGAAAACTCTGATTTTCAATTCAATTGGAAGTTGACTAAAACGTCTATAAATACTACAGAATTAATGGGAAATGTAACTCTTAAAACGCTGTTTGACGATTCTCATACGGTGAGTTTATATAAAAACTATTTTAGACGTGTTTTCAGTTAATAATATATTATTCACTCAGAACGCTTGAATTGAAAATGTTATGTTATGATTTTTTCGTTAGGTAATATAATAATTACATTTTGAGTAATAAATTATTAAATTAATCAAACACTTTTATTAAAAGATAATATAAAAACACTCTCCCCTCCGAAAAAATTCTAAAAATCGTCACTGTTATTATTGTACCATAATATTTCGTGTTTCTTAATTTTTCTTTTTACTATTTTGCCACTACAATGTTTTTATATTTATAATCACTTGGTAAAACCTCTGTATTTCGTTAAAAGTCTGTTGGCTAGACAAACAGGTGTCAACACTTTTTTCTCGGCTCGCCAAGACATGTGATGATTTAACCTTTAATTTTTATTGATCATTTTTTCCCCCAAATACAAATGAAAATCATGTCTAAAACTTAATATCATTGTGTACAATTGAAACTTAAGGAAACTTATAAATAGGACTTAAATAATTTTAATGAATATCATTGAAAATTTCTTATTATTATATTTATTAATTATTTATAACTACTTAAAATAATACTTGAATGAAAATAATTTTGATTTTAATATTATATAGTTGTTCATTTTTTTAAGCTCCTCATTAATTTGGCTGTTAAAGACTCGATTGGTGGTTGGAAAGATAATTATATTCAACACAAAGCTCCTAAAGCATGTACAACTATGAAAGGTTTTTTAGGGTCAGGGTGGTCATTGCTCATCAATGGTCACAATTTAAACAACACAAACTGTCCAATACCCAAGGTAATTATAAAAATTATAATCTGTTAAATTTAAATAGATTTAAAGTATATCACCATAACTGATAATATTTTATATTCAATAAAATAACGAAAAAAGTCTTTATTTATTTTTTCAGGGAGTCTACCAACTTACAAAAAGCTTTGATCTGACAACCATTATTTCAATGTCACATTTTCCAAAAGTATTTTTTTACGGAACGTACAAAATGCGTTTTTCTTTTAATGATAAGTTTGACAAGGAAAGTGGCTGCATTGTGTTTGTAATTGAAGTTAAACGACCCTGGGAAACTATATAAATAGGAACCTCAATAACATACATGTGTTCCTACGTATATACAAGTTTTTGAATTATAAAATTACGTGCAAAAAAAAGTATTTAATCGTAGAAATACAAAATAATGTAGTAAATAAATTGCATTTGATTATTTTTATGTTGAAATATTGTTTAAATCTTGGTGTTCGTTGTATTTTTAGCATAAAATTAATAAATAATATTTAATTAAAAAAAGGATACAAACAACAAAGTGAATGTGGTACGGAATAAATAAGAAAAAAAACCAAAAGTCACACTGCGCATATAGAAATTAAGTTCAGATATGGAATATGACTTAATAATAAAAATTCAAGTGGGATAAGTTATTTTCCCAAGTAAAGTAATTTTAATACACAATTGGTACATTGGTGTGTAATTTTAGACTAAAATACAGTTTACCCCCTTTGAATTCTTGAATTTTTTTTTTTTTGAAAGTGATGTACTTCACCATTCAAAAAACAGTGATATAATTAAAGACTTACATATTTGATTGATTTTGAAGTTGGGGGTTCAACATATGTTGTATTAATTTAATAATTAACTGATGAGATTAATTGTACACATATAACATTTCAATAAAAAATAAAAAAATATTTCATTTTTAATATACTTTAAACAAATCATATTTTAAAAGTTAATTTTCTCTAAATAGTATACATGTTTTTTATGTCGCTTCCCAAACAGCTCCCATCTATTGTTTTATTATTCCCAAACGGCTCCCGTCAAAAAAGGTTTTACGAACAGGTAAATTTCCAAACGGTTGACGGTTAAATTGATATACCGATTTCAGGTTGATATACCGATATACTGTGTACTGGTATACAGTGTACAGTTATATATAATTCAAATTAATTTTTAAAATGGAATACCGAAAACATCTTTACCAAAATGAATTATATATATAATATTATACGTACCTACTCGTACTCTGCAAAGTCATGCAAATACACCAAAACCGACAAAAAAAAAAAAAAGGAGTTCATTGAAAATATTATTCAAGAATTTTCATCAAATAAAATAACTAACATAGATTGTATAAAAAAATTGTGCATCAAAAATGTATCTATTGTATATTTTTTTTTATATTTTTATACATTGGTACATTTTTTTACGATTTTTGTTTAATTTTTAAAACTATTTTAACATTTAATTCACAGAATATAATTTTAATAATTTACTTAGAATATAACCTTGAAAAACAACAATACATTTTTAACCACACCTCTTTTGAGACAGTCCTAAGTCTGTATGAAGTGGGAAGGAAGTGGTGTTGTAAAAAACTGGAGCCGTTTGGAAATTTACCTGATTGTAAAACCTTTTTAAAAAACGGGAGCCGAATGGGCTATACCCGTTTTTTAATATTAGATAGATGGTTATTTTATTTTAGATAAATATAATACAATTTAAATTAAAAATTTTTTTTGGAAATTGAGTTTTGGACACAGCTGGTATCATAAATATAAAAATAATAAAATTATATAAATTCGTTTAAATTTAATATCATTATATTCTACTAAAATAAAATTTAAGGTTAAACAGTATGGGGCCTCATCACAAAAGGGACCTCTTAAATTATGATTTTCCTGGGCTGATTTTTTTCCCACAGTCTGTCACTGCGTGTACGATACTAATATATACAAAAAAAATATAAATTTTAAATATTTTCAATTTGATTGTAGTATTTGAAATTGATTTTATTGTGTACCTGGAATAAAAATATTTTGTTCGAGTTCTAGTTGGTTCTATTATAACAGCGTCAAGAACCAAGAGCTTTTATATACCTAATAATTTTATTTTTCTATAGAAAATTTGGACTGAAGTCATCAAAAATATAGTTCCGAATTCATAATTTATTATTCCATTGTTATTTAAGTAGAAAACAAAATAGTTGGAGTTTACCTTCTCAAATGGTCTTTCAACACGCAAATGTATTTTGGAATTTCTCATGAATAGAGTTTGTGTGAATATGTATTAAAAAAAAAACAGATTACAATAAAGAAAAAAAAATTATCATTATAATATCAGGTATTACAGATAATTTGCAATATATTTTGTGTAAACATAATTTGAATTGTATTTCCTTGAAGCTCTAGGTAGAATAAACAGTTGCGTGTTTATAATTATTATAATGATTATATTATGGCATTTTCACAAATACATTATAGTATGGAGTCTAGGGTGACTAGGTATATAGTAATGTTTGTTTATTATTGTTTTTTTTTTTTTTTTTTATTAACCTTTTTAAAATTTATTATTGTTATAATGGAATAATAGAAATTAAAAAATAAATTGTGGAAAATAATATGAATCTGATTCTTATGTGTATACATATTTTATTCAATATAAATGCTTGGTCAATGGTAACAATAAACATTAATTTCGTATATCCTACTTCACATACTCGTATTTTTTTTTTATACATTGAATCGTGTAGTTATTGTATGTAGAAAGCCGTAAAGTTAGCTTTATATTTATATTTTTTAAATTACCATTCATAAATTTTATATAAAATTGTACATTTTACTTACTTATTTTAAAACGTTCTTACATATTTTATCCAACCGTAAAAAATGAAACTATGAACTTAATTTTAAGTGAATTACTGTTCTCGGTTCTAGTGCAAACATAAGTATTCTTTAAAAAGTTTAAAATTAACTGGACATAACCCTCCCCCCAAATATTTGAAAAGCCCTCAAAAATCGAAACTTTGTTAGAAATGTTATTCGTTGTTTTTATAATTATGTGTTCGTCTTTTTAAAAATCGTAAAATAAGAAATAATAAATTATTTACAATAGCATTAACAATACCAATTAGTTCGGCTACTTGCGAAAGAAGTTTCAGTGCAATGAAAAAATAAAAACTTGGCTAAGGACATCGTTAGTTCAAGATAGGTTCAACGATCTTTCATTACTATATATTGAAACATATAAAAAACGATGATATTTTGAATATCTTTGCTGATACAAATAGATATTTGTCATTAAAATAAAATATTATTTATTTTTAAATATACTTTATTTAAGTTTTACTTTGCATGGGAAGAAGGTGTAGAGGCGAAGCCCCTGCTGGTTATTTTACATTGAATTATTATAGCTCCCCAAAATTCAACCAAATGTCCGCCTATGTAGAGAGATCACTACTAAAAGAAATAAATACAGATGAAATTATTGTGGAGTTCCAAAAAAAAAAGAGAAAATAAGAAAATAAAGTCAGTTTTAAAATTTAAAATATAAAAAGTCATTTCTGTACACTCGATTACTCTGTATCATTTTTTAAAGAAATAAAATTCAATTATTGGTAATAAATATTGTTAGGACTAAGGGCTCTTTGGACTACTTGACTCCAGGTCCGGTAAATTGTCCTGATTTTGATAAATAAAATGCATATTTTACAATTTTTTATTGTATATTAATCTTAATCTTAATAATTATGTATATCATTCTGTATTTATTAAAAATAATAGCAATTACCCAAGGGCACCCATATAGGGGGGGAAGGGCAAGAAACATGCCCCCCTTTGGAAAATGTCAAAAATCTTGGAAAATCGTTTGGTTAAATGATCAGAATATATTCATTTAAATAGAATTAAAAAATTTAATTTAATATATGAAAATCTATAATTTGTTTATGAAAAATCTATTTATTTAGTTTGGAAAATCAAGTTATTAGCTATAAATAACAATATATTTTTTAGGTAGTATGAATATCGTTTCTATTCTATGAATAATTATCAATTCTTAAAATATTGTGTATTTCCAAAAATACGGTATATACCTATATGTGTGTGTGTGTACACCACCATAATATTTATATAATATTTGCAAATTAATATTTTAATAAATATACCTAACTAATGTTTTAAGTGTCCAATTTATATTATTAATTAAATAAAAATTCAATAAATTACTTTTATGGTAAATTGGTTAAATAATTATTATTTTATAGTCTTTCAGTTTGATGTATATGTTACGGGCAAAGTATACATTTTGGGCAATATAGAAAACGGATGATATGATTTAATGAATAATGACATATTATTAGAAAATATAATAAGTTTTTTAATTTTATTATCACTTATTGTCGCATGTACTGCTTCCGTGACATTTTGATGAACATAGCCGCTCCGCTGCTTTACACTTGCACTTCCGTGTTTTACATTTTTGTACACATGTACATCGATCGTAGCCCTGACCACCCAAATTTGAAGATTTCCGTGCTACCTCTCGGTGTGAAATTTTGGTATGCGGCACATCATCAACTTCCAGAAATCTTTCTTTGCAAATTACAAATTGGTTTCTACTGTACAGAGTTGAAAGGCGGCCTTCCTTGGTCCCAATTTCGTACACATTATTGTTAACTGTAAAAACAGAATAAATACATTTTTATAATTTTATCTGGAATATTAATAATATAAGTAAAATATTTTTGAGTACCTGAAAGAATAACTCCAATAATGTTTCTAAAATCACTACGGGCCCTATCAACGTCTGGAATTTTAACCGTTACTGACTGACGAACTTCGCCGGGACAAAAACGATTCTCAGAAGCTTGCTTCATTTTTATAGCTTGAACTTTCAAATTTTTAAGTGATTCTGTTCTATTTTCACGAATAGCTTTTATTCTTAAAGGTACAGCTAAAATAAAATTGATTAATTTTATTTAATTATATAACATAATTATTACTCAAAAACGGAAACTAAAAATCTAAAATTATAATTAAAAGATATTATTATTTTTATTATTATTATTATTATTATTATTATTATTATTATTATTATTATTACTACTACATAGATATAGGTACCTTCTTTGTTTTTGATGTCGTTATTACATTTCGATTCAGTAGAAATAGAATTCAGAGCTTCTTCGAGGTCTTCTTCAATTCTTAAATTACTTATTATATTTACTGACTTTATTTTACCTATGTTTTACGATTTATCATATTTCATTAACTCATGTCATCCGTTTTCTATTCTGCCCAATATACGAAGGGCATTTTATATACTGTCCGGGCAATGTATAAAATACCCACATTGTATACTTTGCCCGTAACATATATAATGTAATAGTATAATGTAAAATTGTAAACCCTTTCCTATATTGTGAGTCATTCCTATTTATGAATAGATTGACAAATTAAAATGTTGTCCCCCCCTTGAGAATTTTCCTATGGGCGCCCTTGCAATTACCACATGACACTGATGATCTATCTTTAATGTCTTTTTTCTTTGATTTCTTCGTACAAAAATCTTCGAGAGTCAATTGATTTTTCTGAGATTTTTCAAATTTATCTTTTCGCACTTTCCGTTTTTGAGCTCCTGATTTGTGATGGTAAGCCATTTGACAACAAGAACAAGAACAATTTAATAAATTGATACTGACGAATGTCGATACTGATACACAAAACACAACACGCAACGCGTGTGTTCATCGATTCGTCATTTAATTATAAACTTGTAAACGCATTACACAATAGTAGGTACATCACATATCATTGTAATCGTAAGTTCGGGTGAGGTTGACAGCAGGCTGAAATAATTCTAATTGCATTTCATAGAATACGATTAAGATAGTTTTAACTAGACTCTTAAACATAATATCAATGGAAAAATCAACTCGCAACTCCCAATTTTAAAAATAATAAATAAATGGGTACATATATCCTGGACGTATTAACGTATTGATACAACGTAAAGATTTTTATTTGGACGTTGCACCATTTTTAAAAAGATTCTATCAAATTAATACAATTATTCTTCCGGGCCCTTGAGTATGCCCAAGCCCCGGGGACAAACACCCGAATATCCCTTCTCCCTCTAGTTAGACCTGCGTACAGAAAAAAAATTGAATTCTTCCACTTGAAACGTAATTTCGTTATTTTCGGTAAACGTATTTACCAAAAAGTTAAAGCTTTGATCCCGCAAGAAAAAAATACTTATTTGACAAAATTGGATTAGATAATGGACATGAAGTAATCCGCCTATCTCCTTATCGCTGCCAGTACAACGCAATTGAACTTATATGAACCAAAGTTAAGAGTCAAGTAGCAAAAAGCACCTTAGCATATGATGTACTGCACTACTATAGTCATAAGCGTGGACAGACGTTACTGGCAGGGTAGTCAAACATAGCTCATTAACATTTAACATAAACAACAAATTTGGATGGGGTGAATTCATTTAATTTAATAATTATATTTTTCCAATATTCTTATACATGTATTTACCGTATACGGATCTATCGCAGAGCTTGAACATAATATGGTTAATTATTATTGTGATAATATTAAATATTTTGGTGAGAGAGAGAAGGTTCACAAAGTAGTCAGGTCCCTAACTAACCCTTGCGAACACTATAACTATAGGCTATTTAACATTTTATATTTTTCTGTCAAGTATTTGAGATGTATTCATCAATATAAAGTACCAATTGTATACAACTTTATGTTTATATAAAGTCCAGGGAAAACTAGAAAGATCATCACCTTCATTTGATAAGCCACACTACACTTAAACAGTAAAACCTAGGTCACAAATGATAATGTCTTCAGCAACTCTTTTTGGATCATTATAGACGATGTTCTATTATCATTAACAAATAAAATAATGTATGACATTTTAAGTGTTTTTTTTTTATGTCGTAAGTGCATTGTCATAGATTTTCTATGATATCGATTCTGTACCTTGTTAATTTACTTACAGAACTCTGTACAACTAAGTTCAGCCAATCAACCAACAAAATATGTTTAATGATCTAATTATATTAATCACTTATACTTACCTACTTAATAAAATTCATTAATTGTGATTTCCTTGTAATTTAAATTGGTAGTATACCTCTATTATAACAAATTATTATAGAAATAATATTCAGTATTTTATGTACAAGTCAATAAATAAAAACAATTATCGGAAAAGATTGATTTGGTTTATTGAAGTTCACAACAGATTAATCCAAAAATTAAAACTTTGTAGTGACAATAAATCAAGATTTACATTTAAAAACTGTTAAGTTAACTTACAGAAAAGGAATGGGTACAACAAGAAAAGTAATTAGTCAAAAATAGAATAGGATTTCAAACAATACTTAGTGAAACAAAAAATATATAACAACACAATTATGTGTGTTGAACCTGCTATTAAATACAAAGGTAAAAATAAATTTAATCTTATGATATTTACTTTGATAAATAGATAGAAAAAACATAATAATGTCACTTAGTTTTACTTTGAAAAACTATTAAATGAAATGATTAGAAGAATTTAAATGAATTTTAAAATAAAAATGTTTTCTTTAAAAAAAAAAAAAAAATTACATATTGCAATCATTTACAAGTAGTTGTTGATAATTGTTGATGAGAGAAGTCGAAGTGTGTTTAAAAATATTTCATTATTTCAGCTGTATTAAATTTGAACTCTGGCCAGGGATTTGTTTTCTTGATTCTGCTTTTACTTTCAGTCGTCTTAACAACTGTACTAGTCTCTTTTTGCGTATTTTGCGTTTTAGAGACATCCAAACATTGAGGGAACATGGCAAAGAATTCTTTAAGTTTGGCTTCCTATTAATTGATAAAATAACAAAATTATAAAATTATAAAAAACCATATATATAATATTATATACACTAACTGAAATAGCATTAGGTTCATCTGTAGTCGATGTAGGGGTAAGTTGCTGAGTAGTGGTAAGGTTTGATGCTACGATGGGAGTTTTTGGTGAACTATATCGTTCAGGGAACATGGCAAAAAATTCTTGTGTCTGAGACGTCTGCAAACAAACAAAATTATTTTTACTTACAATAAATTCAATACATTTAAAAAAATTTTAGACTTAAATAACTTACAAGAGAAATTGGATTTTCTTTTTTTCTTTCTGGTGTAAAAATGATGGCAGGATCAATCAATTCTATAGAGTTAGGAGGCGTTTTAGGTTTAGGCACCGATTTAGGATTTTCAGGAAGTAATTTTGAATTATCAGACACCGACTTAGGATTTTCAGACACTAATTTAGGATTCTTAACCAATGTTTTAGGATTTAAAGGGGATTTAGAATTCTTAGAAGACTGTTTAGAGTTCTTAGATTGTTTAGAATTTTTAGGAGGCTTGGCATTTTGTTTTCCTTTTGCTTTCTTTTTAACCACCCAAATCTTCAACTGTCTATTTCATAATTTAAAATCAACTATTATTATTCTGATTAATATAAATATATGAATAATTAAAACAAAACAAGAATGTTTTATTTAAAATAAATTGAAATTTTTATTACCTGATAAAAGGTAATACCATGTAAAAGGAATGTTTCTGATTTAAACTTTTGGTAGCTATATGATCTCTTCTATTTGCTGGCAATTTATCCAACATAAACCATTCTATTGATCCAATCTCATTTCGGGTTTGTGGAGAAAATTTTGTTTTCATACTAACACCAGTAACAATATATAATCTATTAATCTGGTCATTTAACACTGTTTCTATGTATTCATCTTTATTAATGCTATTGCTAATGTCGTAACCAATTTCTTCATAAACCTTTTAAAATAAAAAATAAATAAATGTTGATTCAATGTAACATACACATTGCTCAGATTAAATATTGAAATTATTATTTTACTTCTCTAACTGCACAGTTCAAAGGATCCTCATCTTGGTTTACTTTGCCTTTTGGGAATCCCCAAGAAGTTTTGGTCCAATAACTTTGGACCAACAATACTTGTGTCATATCTTCATTTAATAGAATAGCACCATATGTTGGCACTGATCTTTTATATTCACGCCATTCTTTAAGCACTTCTAAAACTTGGGATTCTTGACTTCTTAAAAACGGTATATGCTGTAGACAAAAGTTAATTTATGTACATTTACAGTGAAAAATTGATAATAAAGTAGGGTTGTATTAATCTAAATACAGGAAAACTCAAAATATACAGTGATTCAAACAGACTTGAGAATTATTGCATAGTGATATAGTAGTATGTATATGTGTTAAAAAAATAATAATAAAAATCTCAATATTTTAAATAAATGGTGTTTAATTTTATATTTATACATAATAATAATTTTATCATTTTTAATATTGATAGTTGGAAATATATATGGTCAATTGACTGTAATGTTAATATCAATATGGAATTAAAAACATATAGTACTCAAAAATATGGGGAATCAAATGTATAAAATTAAAGAAGATGAATTTATAAACTGTTAATTAGGGCAGATGACTAGTTTATTTACAGCATATAAAACATTAATGTATTTCAATAAAATTCACAAATTACATTTCTAGCTAAAACAAGAAAGATTTGATATATATATGCATATTAAAATTAACAATTTATTTATTTGAAAGGTTTATTGTTATTTATTAATTTTTAAATATATTTCATTCAATATATGTATGGTACATGCTTTACATAAAATGTTGGGAAATGCAAATTAAATGTTTTGTTCTTTAAATCATTACTGAAAAAAAAAAAACTATTGGTTTTAGGCAGCTTAACCTTTACAATGTTTAGTCTCAACTATATACAAAATAAACTGAAATACATAAACAATTTTAAAAGTAAATGTTAACAAATAAGATACATCAGACTTCTGCTTCACGTAATATCTTAATTGTTCAATTCTAAACTATATATGTAGTGCATAATTTTAACTATTGTCATTAGCAGTTAATATATGATGCAGAATGTCAATAAAAAAAATAAGGAGTATGTTTATACCTATCCTTATCTAATACTTCAGTTATATTCATAAAAATGTTTTTATCATTTCAGTAATTAAATTTAACGTTTCAGCATCATAATTAATATAATTTAACTTGTATAATTATCCTAATAGTATTAATATATAAACAAATTAGTAATGAATATGGAATAATGATGAAAATATCAAATTGTAAACAGTGGATAAAGCTAGAATTTAAAATAAGTAAATAAATACAGCAAGATGCACTGATGTAATATTATCAATATTTAAATGTAACCAGTTGATAATTTTAAATGTTGTAAAGTAAATACTTACTCGAAACATATGCAATGCAAATTGGTTGATGCCATATGGTTTTAAATTATGTCCATCACAATAAAAATCGATGTAAAACCAATGGGCCAGCTCAATTTGAAAACATATCCGTATTAAATTTTGCCGTTCTTCTTCAGGAACATTAATTATAAAACGACTAGTAATGAAATAAAAATATTATTGTGCTGTTAAAAGTGATACTGTACAGTTATAAATACAAACCAGCTAAGGTCATCGAGGATTTCCTTAGTCAACTTGTTCTGTTTCTGTTGATCTTTTTTCACAGGCACTGGCTTCATTTCAATTATCATGCTTGTATACGGATAAAGACAACTATAGTATAGAATGTTTCTGTGACGTACTGTGTTTAATAAATACACGCGCGCTTATTGAATAATGGGCACGATTTTTGCGTAGTAAACGCAACGCAAAACAGTTTAAGATTTAAAAATGAAAAAAAATTAACGAAAATACCCACTTGTTATTTTTTAAAAAATTAACAAAAAATACGTCGTAACATTAATATCACACTGGTAGTAGGTACATAATAATAATTTAAAATTATAAATAATTACATGACTAAATGCTTAAGCTAATACTGTCTCTCGAGTCATTAAGTCCCGGCGTAAACACTGCGTGCATTCGTTTCGGTACGTTCAGAACACGGATCAACGAACACGGCCATTTAAAATAGCAAAACGAAAATGTGTTCCGTAAGGAAGCGAAACAAAACCGTAACTCGGTCGCTATTGTTTTGTTATGTGCCCCTACGACAGCAGTAGCCGAAGTTTGCGACGCAATATCCGACGACGTCACAGACATTAATGTAACAAGAGGTGAAAGCCAACAGCTGATTTGACGTTTGATTTTCTTCCATGGGTTTTTTACACCCGTCACTGTGGCACGACCGAACCACCGGTGTTTGAGAATAGTAAAACAATCAGAACAATGCAACGTACAAAATATAAAATAAAATGTTACGTTTTTGTAAATTATATAATCCCATGCATTTGCGTGACCGAACTCGTAGAACCAACTTTGTATTTCAGTGGCGTATTAAAGAGGCGCCAAATGTGAATTTCATCAAGGCCCTAAGAGCCCTTCGAGTACGTTATACAAGCGTACATCAGAGACTTTCGAAGTCATGTATCAAAGAATGAAATGTATACTGTTCAACAACGAGACTAAAATGTAAAGACGGATTTCATTCGTTCGGCTTGATTTGCACTGACTGTTTAATGCACAAATCTGATTCGCGCAAATACCTGATCGTGTATACGGATATTAGGATCAATTTGATTCGCACAAATCACCTGCATGAGTTCCGGCACCGTCCGAAAAAAATTGAAATTTACCTATACAAGACACTTTGGTATTACCAAGCACTGTTGTTCACGGAACTATCTCTACTGTCGCCACACCGAATCATTTCAATACACTGAATTCGTACACTTTCTAACTAATGCACAGTGTCGATAGGTGACATGCACTTTTGTGGGGCAATTCGTCCTTGCATTTATCTTTGGTGGTGGGTTAGGGTAATTACTTTGTGTCAGGTGGTTGGGTGAATAAATTTACACTCTAGTTAGTAAATAATAGGAATGTACAAATCAAGTGACAACCGATCTGTAGATGGTAGGATACTATGATACGATAGAGCAATTCGGCAATCAATGCATGTCTTTATACCATATCAAGCATAAAGACATTTATATCTATTTCGCATACATGTTGAAGCTAAACGACTCTCGGATCTCAGTGATTATACACCATGTAAATACATAGATGTATTATTTAAAAGATCTTTTAAACATGTTAAGGTAGTTATTTAAATTACCAATAGCCCCGTGAAACATTTTTGAAACATCTTTTTTTAAATTACAGTTGTTTGAACAATGAAATAAATGTTTTTTTTAAGATTAAACATTTCTTTAATTTTAATAACGTATTTAATAATCAAATAATTAAACCTATATTTACATACGCTTCAAATTATATTAAATGTCTTTTTTTAAACCGCTATGAATTAGGTAAGTAATAGGTAAGGTAAATAGGTAATAATTAATACCTAATTTATAATTATCATTTTCAGTCTGTATGATTATTGATTTATGATATAACATGAGGCGTTTTACTCGATCATAATTTACATTATTAGTATGTGCTGTTTTAAGCAACACATTAAACAATAAATACAATCGTATTCTAAAATAGACTTGGACCTGGTTTTTCATTCATCCAGTTATTCGCTAGATACGTATCCGTCGGATAAATTTATCTGCCGGATAATCTTTCAAATAAAGTGATTCCGGTTTTTCAATGTAATTTTATTCTCCAAATAGCTATCTGATGGATAAAGTTGTCGGCAGTAAAATTATACTAATAGAAGGTAGTTACTGTTCATTATGGAACAAGTTACACACATTTATTTGATTATGATTGGTCAATGATGAAATTGATAAGGAATCGTTCGGTGATATTGACACATTGTAATACTGTATGTAATTATTAATCAATAATTATTAATTTTGTTGTGTTTTGAGTGTACTCAAACTTCTTTACTTTATGGTTTTGAGTGTTGACTCTCACTCGATATAAATTATATTCACTTCTTTTTTTAGCATGTCTGATAAAAACATATCCAAAAAACAAAGATCAACAAATTTCACATTTATGAAAAAAAACTTTTATTGACAAATGCTCTACAAAACTGTCACGTATTAGAAAATGAAGTGTTAACTAATAAATTACGAACAATATTTTTTCCATGTCTGAATCTCATCCTAAAGTCATGGTCATCTCACACCAGCATATGATTTATTCTTTCGTGTACAGAGTACAGACGATGTCAATAGTTCAAATATTGAATTGTTTCATAATCATCATCCTCTTCAAATAAATCTATGTATATTGAAATTGAAATTGTGTATATATACACATATATAGGTATTTAAATATTTAAAGTAGTATGATAAATTATGATAACTAACCATTTTTATGTTATCAGCTGTTAATTATCTGTCGAATAAGATTTATTTGATATAAAAAGTAACGGATAACTTATCCGTAACAATATCCATTAAATAAGGTCTATTCCCACATTGAAAAACTGAAATTTATCAATCTTTTCTTATTTGTCAGATAAATCAAGTTATCTGACGAGTAAATGTGATTGAAAAACCGGGCCTTAATAGTGCAGGGTATCGGCCGTTCGGCGTTCCCAGAAAATAAATTATTAATAATACCAAATATTAAACAAATAATACTATAACTATGATGGTTAAATTTACAATATATTTATTCAATCATGTAGCCTGTCATTATTTTGCTCTAACTTTTTGGGTGGTGGTATTCACAAAATTGTTTACTTTGCCCTACTAAATGAAATACAAGTCGGCGCCCCTGGTATCGATCATTACAATCGAGCGGACAAATATTGCATAATACGACGGTTTTACATTAGCCGCTAAGAGCTCAATGATATTTGGAGTTCATACATTCATAATTTGACTAAGTCAAAATTAAACGAACGATTTGTTAATACATAAATATTTATTTTAGTAAATTAAGAAATGCAAAATAGTTAAACTACATGTTGCCAACTTATTTATTTGAATTTTCTTACTACATGATCGGTGACCATGTCAAGTTTATCATGGTTTGTAATGCCATGATAATCATAATTATATTTTTCTTTTAACCACGTGATTGAATGATTAAAAAAAAAAAAAAAAATTCAAATTCTGTTTACTTGATCTCTTGACAAATCTTTACTATCATTTTAAACTGAGAACCAGATAATTAACTTTGGCGAACACGAAACACTTGAAATGCGTATCGATACTTGTTATTTTTGTTCGTCTAAAATATACCCAGGACATGGAATGCATTTTGTAAGAAATGATTGTAAAGTAAGCAAATATGAGAGAATACATAACATACGTTTGTTTCGTGCAACACTCTTGTTGTGTGTAATTGAAAATGATGTATTATGCTCTAGGTATTCAAATTTTGTCGCTCTAAGTGTCATAGAGCATTCCAAAAGAAAAAGAACCCAAGACGTGTAAGATGGACAAAAGCTTACCGTAAGGCTGTTGGTAAAGAATTGGCCGTCGACCCTTCATTTGAAATTGAAAAAAGACGTAACATACCCATGAAATATGACAGAGAATTTTGGCAAATGTCGAGTGAGTAGTCTGTACTTATTATTAAAAATGATGTAGTGTGTTCTATAATAATAAGTTGAATATAATAATGAATGTTTTTCATATTAGTGGAAGCGATTAAGAAAGTTACAGAAATTCAAAAAAAACGTCAATCAACCTATGTAATGCAGCGATTGCGTAAGGGACGAGAAGTTGAACAACACAGAGATATTCGAGAAGTTCAAAGAGATATGGCTTTGATTAAATCTCCTGCTGCAGGTACTATTATATCTTTGAACCAACATTTCATTATAAATCCTTCAGTAAATTTCATTTTTATTGTCAAACAATCTATTTCTCAATGTCTAAAATAGTGGTGCAAACAAGATTTGGTATAGGAAATTAAGTTCTGATTTTTTAAAAATTACAAATATTTTTTAGAAAGTTTGTTTTTTTATTTATTTTGAGTATATAAAAACTATAAAAATTTAAATTATGACAAATTTATTTCTACTGTGAACTTTTGATTATTTAATATTTGATATTAAAGCTAAAATATTAGTAAAAATTTTTTTATATATACAACTTAATTTTAAAAAACTTAGCTAGTTTCAACATTGTGCAAACTTACCATACATAGTAAGTTTATCACTATGCATCTCCTTTGGTTAAAATGTAATGTATTACAGAAAAATTAATTATACAATCAAACACCATAAAATAAACAATTATTAAGTTATCATAACTTGGAAACTAAGCTATAATATTTTTTATATTCTATCAGTTTTAAAAAAGTTATTATATTTCATTAAAATACAATTTAAAATAACCATAAGGTTTAAAATATTTAGTACCATTGCTAAACATTTTAATATTGTGTATTTTTTTTAAAATAAAATTTCATATTAATTTGAATATAAAAAAAATCAAAGGATTTGAATTATATAAATACAAACAGTAATATGGTATTATTATTTTATTATTATATTATTTATTTAGTGTAAGGTACAAACCCAACCTTTTTAATATGACTGGGGTGAATCCCATTAATAGGTACCCACCTACTCACCAAAAAAATCATAATTAAATAACAAGTATTGCATTGTGAACTATGAGTATTTACTATCTAGTAATTACATAATATTATAGATTATTTATCATGCAATAATAATAATATATCTAACAATCATTAAGTCACCCGCCACCTAAAAAAAGTTCTAGGGTATTTACTAGCGTTGGAAAAATCCAGATTTACCGAAGATTAAAAATTCAAAATCTGATTTTATTATAAAATCAGATTCTGGTTTCTAAATATTCAGATAATCCGAATTTATCTCACATCACTAGTATTTAGCCCACTTGCTACACATATTTAGTGCTACTAAATGTAAATAATATTAAATTATTATAAAATTCACCCATGGGTATAATAAAAACTAGAAATCTAGATTATATATATATATATATGTAGTCTAATATAAATTGCTTTATATATTATGTGATAGAAACATTTCAGTCAATATTAAGTTTTTGCAGTAATAATACATATTTTTATTTTTTTTTTTGTATAATTATGGATTAATCAATGGTGTTTTAGTCATAAGATTGTATTATATTTATTGGACTTTAAAAGTATTTTTTAATTAATTATTTTATCTTTCATTGTTCAATTTCCAGTTAAATTTATTAACTAAAATATAACTAATTTTCTTGTAGGACTTAAGCAACGTTTGGCTACTGAAGAAAAACTACTTGAAGAACAAGAAAATGATGTAGAGATGGTGGCCACAGAAGATGAGAATAATATAGATCATAGTAAATTGTCTTACATAAAAATATGAAATATTTCTAATTCTTTATTGATATTGTAATATGAATTTTAATATGAATATAAGAATGAATATAAGAATGAGTAATTATTTACATAAGATAACTACCCAACCTTATTTATTATACTGCATGGTGAAACAATGAGATAAGATACTGAATAAATATGTTCCCGCCCAATAGATACAGATAGTTTAAACTCGAAAGAATTGTATTATTATATTAGAGGTTTTAAAAAATATTTAGTTGAGAAGATTAAACACTATAATAATCAAAATGCGTTTTTCAACATTTCTTTTGTGTTTGATAATTGGTAAGTTTAATTTTGGCATAATTAAATTTCATCACCTTTCACATGTTGATATGTGTAATTAATAATGAAATGTTATGTTCTGACAACTAAAATGTATTATTAAATTTTTAAGTAACGATTTTGTTTCTTAATGAAACAGAAGCAAGAAGAAAAATTCTTAGAGGGAGAAAAACTATTACCAGAACATACTACAGTAAGTTGTAAAATATAATATATAATCAGTTATAAAATACATTTATATGTAGGTTTAAATTTATGTTTAGCTTAATATAAATAATAATTAAAATTATTGTTTTCTTTTAATGACTTATAAATTTAAATATTAGATTTTACTTCTTGATATTTGTTATTTGTTTAATAATTAGGATTTTGTTCATCAGATTGTGCATTAATTAATAAGATTGTTTTACTATTCGTCACTGATAAATTAGATCACAACATTAATACACTTATTATTTTTATGATTTATTTTTTAAATATATATTCAAGTTTGGAAAATTGTAATTCATGATGATTAGTAGTATAAAGGTAAGTCTAGAACCAGTGGCACCGTAACAATTTTTGAACAGTGGGGGCTGGGCACAGCTACAAATACAGAGGAAGATATAATATTATACCTATTACAACTGTGTCCGATCACATCAGTTGTTGGTAATTAAATGATTCATGAAATAAATTAGATTACAAATCTATTGTACAGTTGCATTAATGGATTTCCTATTCTAAAAGTTATTCTATTTTGGGTGTTGCGGTTAAATATTAAATTGTTTTTCTATTTTTTAAATAAGGGGTAATAGTCTCCATGTTATCTTATTCTTATATACATACCTCATATATTACATAAAATATTAACTACCTACTACATACATAATACATGCAAGTTATTTCTAAATAAAACAATTGATTTACTGTATGTGTATGTTAATACTTAAAAACGGATAGTTTTTTAAATAGATTTAAGTTTTGTTTCTATATTCAACAAAAAAATTAATGTAGACGATGGCTTATGTATTTTAATCACAGGAGTGTAAATTCTAGGAAAATGTCTGTGTGGGCTATGCCCTCACATAATTTTTCCCATGGGGGCAGTTACCCCCATTGTTCCGGCGCCCATGTCTAGGATACTTATCAAAATCCATAATTACTCTTCTCAGAATATGAATAAAAATTCATTTTTAAAACGTTTTACCTGTATTATCTACTTTTAAATAATTTGAATTTTGGGTTAGAACATACGTTTCCCTAAATACATTTTTACAATAGTATATATTTTATCGATAATTTAACAAAAAATGAAAACCAATAATCATTTTTCAACAAATAGGCCAGTCTAGGACAAACCACAAAAATTCATAAAAATGCAATTATCTTCATGAGGCACATTAACTATTGTTTTTTAACAAATTTTTAATGGAGTTTTTTGTGATCATGTTCATCCCCAGCAGTAAAAAATAAATTTTTCACAAAAAAGTGCATATTTTATTGATCTTTAATTGAATATAAATTATTTTACAATCATTTAGTATCAAAGCAAGTTCAAAAATTTTGAAACTTTTGTATCCAACTTTCAAAAAATACATGTATTCTCTCATCTGGTTCTGCTTCTGAATCAGGATTTGAAATAAATTCATCAAGATTATTATTATATATAAATGATTTAGACCTAAGTCTATTATCATAATCAGGGAGTTCATCAAATTAAAAGAGAAATTCATCATCATTATCAATTTCAATTTCATCACAAAAAGAATTGGAAAACTAAATTAATTTTCAATATTTGTAATTGCTTTCATAAATTCATTATATTCTTTAGGATTGTTATTAAAATTAATTTCAATATAATTCTCCAATTTTTATTTATTGAAAAAAAAAAATCATGTTTTTATACCTTTATTAGAAAAAATTATAGCATTTGCATATATCACATATCAAAATCATTAGATAAATAAAATATATTATCCTCATTATATCCTCTATAATCATAATCAAGAGATTTGTAATAATTAATTTTAATTTTTTCAGAATCATTGGGAATACCAGCTTGGTTATCGATTACATTCACTGGACTTGTTATATTAGGAATTTCAGGGATAATTTATGGAGCCTTGCAGAAATTTATTATAACTAATAATCAACCTCCACAACCAACACCCTCTTCAGTTCCACTTACTACAACTGAAATCCATTAGTATAACTATCATGAAATAATTTATTTTTATTTTGAGTATATGTTCTTAATAGAATATGAACATCTTAAATAAAAAGGGCAAATGATTGTTGGGAAAATTATTTTTCAATACATACAATGAAAACATGAAAATTAAATTCTTATTATTTATAAACAAATCCTTTCATTTTAAATAAAAAAAAACATTTTATTTTTCTTTTTATCAGTTTGAAATGAGTAATACACTAAATTATTTTAATAATAATACAACATTTATTACATTTACTTGATGTATTATTATATAGTATTACAAAGCTATATAAATCTATAAGTATAAATTATTCATGGTTTAATGACTTCTTCATAAAGAAATTTTAAAGAGTTTCCGAGTGAAGCAGCAGTGCCAATGACAATAAAACCAAACAGAAGACGGTCACTCATTCCACGTTTCAGGTATACTGGTACACCATCCTCTCTTTGGAAAAATTCTTGCCATTTTTTTAGTTCTTTTAAACGAGGATCATTATTAAGAGGTCGACTACAGTGGATATTTCTAGACAGCGGTTTTGTTGCTATCAACACTCTTCGGAGCGACATAATATGTATCTGTTAATTAAATAAAAACATATCAAACAGTTGGTAATAAGTATATAACATTATAAGTCATGACATTAATCCACTAAATTAAAATTAAATACTTGAAAAAGTAATTTTTAAGTATATATATATGTCATAGCTATATCGCAAAATCGATACAGATTTTTTACACTCAGTATAATTTTATTCACAAGGTTGTAAGCTATATGTACAGAAATACATTTATCGCACGTCTCAAATTTGATTTAAATTCATTATTAGTGATTTCAAGTACTAATAAAGTACTTATTTATGACTTCTAAAACTTATTTTACCCATCTAAATTTAATTTAAATTATTATGCATAGTAATATAGTAAATTTATATTATATTAATTTATTAATAATATTATATTTATTTTTTTAACGAGCAGTTAAAGCAGTATCTAGTAACTTACAATTTTTCTAACCTTTGGTGCACCAAAAATTCAAAAAGTGACAATATTAAAAAATTTGTAAATTCTATAATTAATGAAATCAAGGAAATTTTTGCTAGAATGCATTATTGTACATGGAAGATTAAGACAACATAGACAGCAACCAAGACGTCAAAAATATGCTTTGTGCATGGACCATAAACGGTCTATAACAGGAGTGGACAACTGACCCGCAAGCCTATTTTATCTGGAACATGCTACATTTTAAAATTACATTATACAATTTTAAAGTTTATCGCCTATACTCTAATTTATCGATATAATAATTGTTATCTGATATTAAATATCGTTAAATGTCTAAATATCATATTCTTCTTCTTGTCGTATCGGTTTTCATATTCCCTTCCCTTTCCAATAATCCACAATTTGTATTGTCTTGTCTGAGAAAACCGTGGTTGGTAGGATTGGTTAATTTAAGTTAAATTTAGATGGGTAGAATAAGTTGTAGAAGTCATAAATAAGTACTTAATAAATATTTGGAATCACTCATAATAAATTAACGTCAAACTTGACCTGAGCGATAAATGTTGTATTTCAGTAAACAAAGTGAATGACCACATTGTGAAAAAAATTACACAATGTTAAATTGGAATGACTATTCTATGAAAAAATGACCTACCTATTCGTGAAATATTTTCAAATTACACAAAGCGTAAAAAAATATGTTTCCATTTCATGAAATGATAATTTTTACAAAATGACTACAAAATATACATGTAAAGGCAGTACCCAAATTTTTTACAAGTGGTTCTCTTTTTTAGGACCAATTTAAATTACGGACACCTACAGAAAGTATCATAAGAAGCATGCAAAATAAATGAACACTAGTTTTATTTTCATATAGGCCACTGAATGAACTTGCAGTATGAGAACCACTAATAAGTATGAATTAAGTGAATTACACTTGGAAACTATAATACAGAATTACTAGAATATAACAACTAAAATACATTAAATACAATCCTGATATATTAATAATTTATATATATAGTATCCTATAATATATTTGATTGAAAATCAAATTGAATTTAACGCTAAAAATGAATTAAAGTCTTATAAAGTAGATTTAGTCATTAGTTTATATAAAAAAATGAATTAATTTTATTTGCCGTCCTCGGTTTTATAAAGGAGAACAAGAATGTATTTTCTATCAACTGATGTGTAATATTTTAAAGGCCTTATTTACAAGAAGATATATTTTACCGTTTATTTAACTATTAATAATAAATAATATCACATAAGATATAGAACTGTCATAAATATTAAATATAAGAAATTAGTCAGTAAATATAAATACAGTTAAGTACTGAATATTTTGATGAAATAACGCTTTATAATATCTATAGACTAAAATAAGTATGTTTTTGGAAATCATAATATAAAATAATAGTGTCTTAGAAACGATGATTGATTGTACTTAATGCTTAATAGAAAACACAAAAAACATTATTGTATTACTATTACTGAAATAGAATGTCATGACTTAAAATTAATTTCTATATTCTTATGACAGATATTAATTTGAATGACATTGGACTAAAATGAAATACCTATCAAACTAAAATAAATAGACAACGAAAAAAGGATTTTAATGTCGATTTATCACTACGAAAATTTCTTACTCGCAGTAATCGGAAGAAAATTGAATATGAAAAAATGAATTAAGAGTTTACTTACTTTGTATGAACGATTTAAGGGTGCAGCGGCCAGCGATGTATGGGTGGTTTGGTCAAATTCGAAGAATCATTAAGGTAAAACTAAATCAACCGTAACCTTCATAGAAAAAAAATTATCATAGATAACAGTCATATGTTGAAAACATCTGGGGCATGGAGGAAATGTAACTTCGCCATTGCGGGGATAAACACCGCCCATTTTTGAGCCTTTTGATGTTTTCGTCATATTTCAATAAATTGGAAATTGTATTACACACGTAAAATGTCCGATGTACACCGTTAATAAACGGAAAATATTTATTATGAACAATGATCGAAACGAGTAAAAACAGTTTTTCCGCGTACGTAAATCAATGCATTCTACTGCATGTGGCAACGTATGCGCTGACGTGAATATAATCTTTGGAGATAATATTTAGCGGTTCTGAAAAGTTAGTATCTTACTCAGTCCGCGAAAAATTTGACCAATATGTGCTGCTTATTGTCATGCTAATCAGAAAAACCTTTTAGAATTGGGATAAACATGATCAGTGGCGTCGAACTTCTAAAATTTTACTCAGGCCAAATAAAAATACAACGGCCTCAAGAACCCTAGCGACCACAAACCTAAATTTTTTACTTAGCACAGAAAAATAATTTTTGCTCTCAAATTACGAGTATTAAGCATAATTCATACTAGTCAGACACCATTCGGCAAAATATGTATTATGTGTTTTAATTTAGGTAATTTACATTTGAATGTTTGCGTTCGGTTCATACACGTACTGATCCAACAGAATCCGTTTGGTATTGCTCGCGGGGTCAGAATATTACAGAGTGCAAACCATTGATCAGGGGGGCCTAGGGGCCGCGTCCCCTTCCCAAGCCCATACCGTATTAATAAAAAAAATGTATATTGTTAACAAAAAATGCATATTATAATATGAACTATCATACGACACGCACAAATATGTAGATAGAGCCATAGAGGTATAACGGTTGAATGGAGTTTCTCCACACTTCGGAGACTAAAAACCTGGCTTCGTTCAATGATTACTGAAGATAGACTATCAGCATTATGTTTAATTAATGTATTTCATAAAGTAGATGTTCTAGATCAAATAAATCATATCATTGATATTTTTGCCAATTTTAAAAATAGACGTCTTGAATTTGAGTTATAAAAATTGTTGTTTTCTTTTTGATACAAGATTTTGTAAAATTATAACTTCCCCCCCCCTCCTCCTAACCAAGGCTCTGGAGCCGCCCCTGCCATAGATCGGCTCCTTTAATCCCCGGCCTCATTTTAAAAATGTAATCAGGCCACGGCCTGACCTAAGCATAAGGTTTGGCGCCACTGAATTTAACGACGGCACTGACTGCACTAACTTATTTACCTACTTCTTCTGGCGAATTCTATGTCCACCGGCCATCACAGCTCTTGAAAAACTTTGTGATTTCTCTCTCACTCATTCGGGATATTTTTACCAGAAAAAAGAAACTAGGCAAAAATCATGTCTTGCTGTCTTTATAGGACATAATAATCGAGTGAAATCCGAAGTGTGCCCCTGGACCAAATCATTCAAGGTAAATTCATAGGAGAGGCTCGATTTTTTTTACAAAAGAACATAATCTGTGGTGTAGAATTTTAGAGCAACGAAAAATTTTTTCTATTGTTTTCATAGCAGAACAATAAATTCAACCGTTTACAAATGTTAACATATATATTACTTTGAATCAATTTTTGTTACTGAAAAAAATAAAAACGCTTCATCACAGATAACGTTCTTCTCTTAAGACACAAAAAAAATCTGATTCTATGAATTTACACGTATGGTGTACCCTTTGTAAAACGTATTTTTGTTGTATTGCGGGTTCTCAATATACAAATCAAAATAATTCGTTTTTCGAGTCTTATCAGTTCGCTACGTTTATCACGACGACATAATCATTGCTTACATTCAAATATTCAATGTAAATTTTGTTTATCTATTAGTTGTTTGTTTTGGCATTTCATTTCTTTGAATCAAGTAAGTTTATTTTGTTGTTAGAAATTCAAGCTTAATCTATCATCATTGTCATAACGATTATGATATGAAATGTAGCCATGTTCAGTTACTTTTACAAAGTCGCTACTAATGGCTGTGATTAATGTACTGTACCAACAATAGCTGATTTATTAAAACAATAATATATTTACTAACTAAATTAATCATTCCATATCTGTCTTTCCTTCCCAAGACTTCTCTTCCTCCAATACAATTCTGTTTTTAAATTCCTGCTTTCCAATTATCACCTTCCTCATCATTCTTTTCATATTAAACACTGGCTTTCTTATTTAATAAATAAAAAAAATGATAACACAAATGTACTTAAATGTTTCATTTTATTAATGGAGCTATAAATATTGAACATTAAAAACAATAAAAAATAAATTTATATCTGTTTAAATATTTGATACATCCGGTTTACTTCATATGTGCAATAATTCTACATAATACTAGTGGAAAATATCAGACTATGTTTTCATAGATACTAATTAGGTACATTTTAAATGTTGTATAAAATTCATTTATGTATTACATAGTTAAATTAATAAATAATGTATTTAAATTGAACAATTATTAGGATTACTTTACCTTATTAATTTAAGTACCAAATTTAAAATTGCTATGTTGTGTCTAATATAAATAAATAACAATAATTTCAAACTAAAATCTATATTATGTACTCGTATTTCAAAATAAACTACTGTTCTCATCATATAATATGTATTTCTATTCACATTAGGTATACATCAATAAAATGAGCTTTGACACAACTTGGGATGTCGATAAATATAAATCTGAATTTGAATATGAAGACCATTGGCAGTTTAGACGTCAATTTTTAATTGCTCATCAAGATAAATTTCCTGAAGATAGACTAGTATGCTTAGCTCAAGTTTTTTTCAACGTTGAATTTTTAGGTTGCAAGTGAGTTCAATTATTAAATGTTTAAACATCTGTGAATATAATTTTTTGAGTCAATTGTATGTAAGTATTAATATTCAATTTTTCAAGATATCCTAAAAAGACCATGGATCTCATTGAAAAATTATCTGAAGGTCTAGCTGATGAGTTAAGAGAAAATCGCAAAGGTAAATTACAAAGAACCTTTGTTGGAGCTTCAGATGCTGCAGAAGAAAGAGCTAAAAATAAACGCTGTTAGTGGATTTACTTAAAGTTTTTAATACTACAGTTTTTATATAATTTATTGAATATTTTTATATTAATTAAAAAAATATATTTGAAACTAAATTATTAATGTTTATTATATGTATTTCAGGAAATGATCAAGCAGTTGTATTGACTATAAATAATAAACAATGGAATGTATAAATTAAGATATTAAGTGGAATTATAAGAATTATAAAAACCAAGGGTAGTATAGTTCATAACTAAATAGGTTTATTTATTTTGTAAATTATTTGTTTAATAAATAAGATACACACAAATTATATTTTGTACACATATTTTAAACTGAAAAAATTGGAGTTCTTAATACTGACAGGTAATAATAAATTATAGTCATAGTAATCATCAAAAATTCAAAATATATATATAATTTAATATGATTCATTTAAAATTATAGTTTTATTAGCTATTTATTATTTTCTGTGATGATGTCACTTAATCATGATCTAGGATATTTCACGGACCATTCGGCCCAACCACCTGTATAATTGAATAATCTGTAATGTTCAAGTATAAAATAAGTTAAATTTTACATTTTTAACTTTAGATGTTGGTTATCTGAAAATAATGATTACCATAACCATACATAAAAATTATTGAAACTATTTACTTTTTATAGTTTAGTTTGAATGCAATTTCAGCTGCTCGTCGACTCCTGTTTCCTCGAGCACATGAGAATACAATCTCATCATTCTCCTTTTCTGGTTTAGATAATTTATACTTGTCTTTAAACACGTTTGCCGGTAGATTTAATTCATTTTCTAACTCACCAACTAAAATGAAAGTTACATTTTGTTACAAGTTTATACAATTTTTTTACTTAGAATGTGTTAATATTAGAGTTATAAGTTTCTTCAATTACTGATATCAAGTTGAAGATATTTTCAGAATATATTTTTTCTACTCAGAATGGAATTAAAACATACATTGATTAATACAATTTAAAATCTTAACTAATAGCTTATATATAAGTGCTGTTTTGGAAGTTTCTATGATAATATGGATTTTATTTTTAATTAATTATAAAAACAATTACAATATTATAAATCTGCCATTCTTTCCTTGAGAACATTTTTTGAAAATTTAAATTATAATTCATAGAAATGATTCTACAAATATAAAACAATATTTTTAGTTAATCATAATTCTAACTCTCTAAATAACAACATTTTATTAAATATGATTGTCATAATATAACTTTACGCGGTATGTTAATACTGTTTGGTATTGATCCTGTTGCAGCAAGCTCGTGATTCTCACGGACATCGATCACGAAAGATTTTCGGTCCATTTTTACTAATAATCCATCATAATCCACATTTTCATAAACCGACATTATCTTGTGGTAAATAGTGACAGCGTACAATGTTTTGTACAAAGTTGTATTCCTATAAGCTATAGTGTGTATACTGATGAGTGATAATGACAAAAGTCAAAATATATAACTCTATTATGTACTTCATTAGCCGTGGAGAGTAGTAAGCAAGGAGGGAGATTAACCAATTGCCCAATTACTCACAATTAGTGAGTTTCTAATAATTGTTTGAAGTTGTCACCTTTATTATGAATAACGTTACCTATACCATATATATATATATATATATATATATATATATATATAATTATATAATTAGGCAGATAGAATTATGAACACATTAGAATACATCGGTAGTTACTACCTGATACTACGTATATTATATGTTGGTAATGAAAGGATATACCTTTAGGCAGTTCCTAAGGAATTATAGAAGCGCCTTCTAAATATAATTTTCAGAGGATATGTTACTATTTTAGAATACTGTCCACGCGTAAGTTAATATTGTGATTGAACCAATATTAAAAGCAACAATAGAAAAATTCGGAAAAACTGTACACTTCAAGCAATTTCTTTCAAAAAAATATCCTGATTACAGTACTGCCTATAGGTAAATCCAAGAGTTCGTTAATGTTTACCTTTTTTAATTATGCAACATTAGCTATTATGGATATTTTCGTCAGAACCCAGAATCTACTATAGATTAAAGAGATTAAAAAAATACATTAAAAATAATAATATTATTCGAATTTATAACGGAGGTGCAATTGTCGCCTGCATTAATTCTCTGATCGAGGAGCGTCTAAAGGTTGCAGTTGTATTGTTCGTACTACATACCGTAATACTTAATTAAGTGGTACAATACTAGTACTATTTGTTTTAATTTTCTTATAATATGTGCACTAGTACAATAGCTATTGTACACAAGCGTACGTTTTAATATTGCTCAGTGTGGACGCACGTATCCGTCGAAAGGCTTACAACAAAGTGGAGTTAAAATAATCGAATAATAATTAGGTACCTAATAACATTAAGGGTGTATAGGTATTTGGATCATTCAACGCTATCAGTTGTAATAATTACTCACGCAACTCACTTAAATTTTTAAAATATATACAGAACATTCGATAGTAGGCATGGGTTTTATTTGAATACCTATACATAATAATTATTACAATAAAAGTAAGTCGATTCAGAAAAATAACAACGATTGGAGTGCATTTTTTCGATAACAATACATTTTTAGACTTTAAATACAGTAAGTACTACATTCTACTCCTCTATAGCAACCCTTATATTACGAGTTCAGCGGAGTTTCCAGAGAGGGGGGAGGTTAACGGGTTATAGCCCCCCCCCCCCGAAATTTCTTTCTAATTTTGTAAGATATACAATAATTTTAAGACAAATGTATAATTTTATATTATATCATCATCAAGTAATTTTCACTGTTTTAACAAACTAAATGATAACAAATTTTATATTTTAATTTATGTTTAATGGACTTATTATTAAAATTAAAAATTGGTACTTAATTAGGAGAAAGAATTGAAAATTTAACCTTCCTCCCTCCAACAAATATTTTTTGGTAACGCCATTGTACGAGTGCATACGTCATGATACATATTTAAATATTAAGTGAATATATAAATTACAATAATTGTGTGCAGGTTTTGTCTAGTGATGTTTTCTAAATTTGATTTGGTAAATATCTACAAAACTCTTTTTTTCGCAGCTCGTTTAAACTTTTATAAGAGGCCAATTAAACTTTGCTCTTTCACTTCGAAAAAAGAAATTATTTCCGTACAGAAATACTTCATCCATAAAAAACAATACAATATTTCGTATACTTTTTAAGCATATAATTATGTTCAATCAACCCAATTTTTGATAAACTTCAAAAATATTATTAAAATAATTGTAGTTATTGTTTAAAACATGTTTTATATTATGTTTACAATAAATTATTATTATATAAGTAATTATTATCATCATTTTTTCTGAGATTTGATTTATCTAGCCGCCCTAAATGTTTAGCCACTCTTATTTTTTGAACACCTTGCACACCTGGTTAGCACAGCCCTGGATATATCTTGGTGTTAAGTAGGTGTCTACTCCTTAACATCTAATTAATCTAACAATGCGGTATTAAACAAAATACAAGAATAAAAAATAGTGTACGTGCATTATATTTGTATGTTCAAAATCATATAATATAGCGATGGTCAATGGACTATTTTTATTGAATACTTTGAGCTACAACGGAAGTCGAAGTACATTAAACAGACCCTTATGGGAGATATTGCGATTATGAAGACATTCACACGACGATAAAAGTCATATCTCATTTCTTGTCCTTTACCGAATTCCATAATGGTATTATTATATTTAAATAGCTTATAAATTAGTTTACTATCTATATAGAGGTGTACAATAAATAATTATGATATGATAATACTACATACATCATATGTAATTAACTTGACGAAGTAGATGACTGACTGTGAATGATTGTTTAATATTTCTGCTAATGATTTAGAGAGAATGTTTTTGTGTTGAGGTGTATTCAATATTCCGTAAGCTTGTGCTTGAGGGTTACTTAAATTCCGCAGGCTGTACAAATAGGAGGTTTTTCCTTGAATATTAGGTAACTTTTATTGTGTCTAATTCTAAGTCTTATTAGTATCACTTCAATTTTTTATAGATATTTTTATCGGAATGGGTAACTACCTGTCATATCTTATTAATTATGAAGTATATTCATTCCTATATGGTACTTGTGTAATACGTTTTAATTACGCCATATGATCTATTCGTATGTATTGAATTCACATTGGAAATATGTATGTGTATAAGCATATTACGTAACTTTTCAGATATTAATCTCGAGTTCATATGACTTATAATGATGTAATAACTATAGGTGTTTACTTTCTAATACCTAAATAAATAATAATATATTGCTGTCATTTTTATTCTCGCATTTAAACTTATACCATTATCTTTACATATAGTGCACCTACATAGATTTACATAATTATTATTTAGTGCTATTATAAGAGCCGTATAATAATTTCGATTAGGTTTTTTATTCTTTCTCTGAAATATTAAAATCAGCCTTTAATATATAATTTTACTTATTGCAAATCAATTTCTAAGGATGATATTTAAAACTATGTTAAATTCTATAAGTACCAGACTATACAAATAGTTTTATCTGTTTAAACAATTTCAGTGTGTGCTAACTCGCCTAAACAATTTAACGTACAAAACCCTATACCTACTTTTGTAAATTACTAAAAAGCTAAATGTTATTTTAGGTAGGGATATCTACGTAACCAAAAGAAAAAAAAATAGCGCATAGATTAGCTAAATAGCAATAACAACAAAAATTATAATCAAGCTACTATGAGTGTCGTTTTGATTATCTTGTTATTTAAAGTATTTTACATTTATATGTATTATCGTTAATTAAGGTTAATATTTTACACGAGCACGTTTTTATACAGGTTAGCGTAAGCATATAATATTTAGTATATAATATGTAACATGCATCCACCATAATGCAGCCAGTTGTATAAACGAAAGGATTAAAAGTGTTCATTTTTTATTATTGTTTACATGTATACCTATCGTATTTTGTTCAGTAAAATAATAAGTAGGGATCTATCTATGCGGTATGATGGCATATTTCAACAGATTTCAACAGATTTCATTGGAAGTTATGTTTTAACGCGCATAGAGGCGTTTAACTTTTAAACAAAATTAGTTATAGATATAAATAATAATAATTATATATGAAGAATAATTTCGATTTGTGATTGGAAAAAAAATGAATAAATTCAACAATAAAACATATTCCTACAATATCGTGCCAATAACTTTCGATGATAAAAAAAATGTCAAAGAATTTTTAACAAACTTTTTTTTTCGACAAGAGCCGTTAATAGTGTGTTTAAAATTATTCGAAGATGTTAACTCATTGGAAAAACTTAAAAATTATGGCTTCAGAACATTGGATAATGGTGAGCTTATTATTAATACATATTAATCCAGTGCTAACTGCAGTAAGCTTATTAAACATCACACACACACACACACACACACACACACACACACACATATAGACATAATTATTATGATTAATACACAATACAAGTATGTATTTACATATAATTATTAAAATTGTTTGAACGATTATAAGTTATCAATTGCTATAGTTTATTTTTGTTACATTAATCTATGCATTTCTTCTTTAATACCTATTGAGTACTTTTAGTACCTATATACAGGCCCGTATTTAAGGTAGGGGTGCACGGGTAAACACATGCCCGGGGGCGCCAAGTCTTAGGGGTGGCAAAATATTTTAGCAAAATTAATTTTAAAAATTATGTACCTAATGAAAAAAAATAAAACAATAAAATAAGAAAATCGTATGTTTTATTATGTTATAATTTGTTAATTAAAAAAAGTATTAAATCATTTTCATTTATAAGTTATATTTTATTATTAAAGAATCTTGATTATGAACGAAATAATAAGTTTTATATTATTATTATTTTTTTTTTGGGGGGGGGGGGCATAAATTATATGTCTGTAGGCACAAAAGTCTTAAATACGGGCTTGCCTATATCCATATATATATATATATATTCTGTAAGTAATAATTTATAACTCGTATACTTAATACAAATAATAATAATAACAGCTAACTACTTAATAAATTCTATTAAACGTTATATCCAATCGAATTGGTTACTTTTTACTGGTTTAGTTAATAGTTATTTATATAAATATACCTGATATACGCTAATTATTACTTCATGGCAGGGACGTATTTATGGGGTGGTTACTGAGTAGGCTGCAGTCCCCCCCTCGAAATTTTAAGAAAATTTAAAAAATATTTTCATGGTCTATAAAAGTCGCTGCAAAAGTCTTAAATTTCATTTTATTGACTTTAAATTCGTATTTTTATTTTGTTAGCTTATCTTACCCTTCATAGACAAAATTTACCACGAGAGGTAATACTGAGAACAGTGCCGAATTAAACATTTGTGGGCCCCTAAGCAATTAAAATTTTGGGCCCTACAAAATTATTTTTTACACATACCTTTAACATTACTATCCAATAATTAAAATAAACAGTTTTAATAATAACTAACTATTATTAATAAATAAAGTCATGTTTATTAAATTTTTTATTTTCAAGAAAAATTAATTAATTATTATATTATTTATAATTTTTTCAAAATAATTTTATTATTATTACTGCATATAATATCTACAACTTAATATATATTATATTTCATAATGACTTTTGTCCCTTAAATTCGTAAATAAAATACAGGTATTATTAAATAAAAAAAATATAGTTTTCCGTTTTCATAGGGCCCCTTAAATGATTGAGGCCCTAAGGCGAACGCCTATTCCGCCTAATGGGTAATCCTGCACTGACCGGGAATTATAGATACTATTTATAAACCTGTATTTAATAATTATATGGAATTTTATTTTGAATTTGATACTTATTTCCTAAATATATCATTATGCAGCGAGACGAGTGCCTAAAAAATATCAGTACCCGGTAAACCGTTTTAATTCTAGGATAATGAAGTTACCTAGTTTATAAAAAACACGATTTAAATATCATTAATTACACTATTTTGTATAATATTCAGGATTAACGCTAAAAGCAGTATCTCCTAATGGAGATTTGATAGGTGTGATTTCAAACGAAATATTGTCTAGAGACAGTGAAGAACACAATAACTACAGCGATGACAGTAGTTGCCAAGATGACAGTGTTAAGTTTAAGAAATTTATGACACTTTTTAAAAAAGTCGAACAAGAATCAGACGTATTTAAAATGCATCCCACGTTAAACCGTGTTATGGACATTAAAATAGTTGCGGTGGATGAAGCATTCAGAGGCCAAGGAGTGTGCAAAGCTCTATTTGATAAAACAAAGTACGTATGCTTAACTGGAGTGGTTTTTGTGCAATTTCCAACATTAATGATTATATATTAATTCATCACAATTTGTTTAAAATACAATAATTTATACCTAGTGTACCACTTAAATCAATACTATACAACACACAATACCAATATACAATATACAAATATATAAACATACAATACAATACCACTATAATCAAATATAATTTACCTAATTATTAACTTTAATTTTGAAATCGTTAAGATAATAGTAAATTATTACATGTTATTATTAAAGTACAATGTATCTATATCTGCATAGCCAGTGGACCTAACTATCATACTCCGATGTATTAGCTTTTTAAATCTTTGGCCCTTAAGAATGTCCCTTTTTCTGTTTATTGTTTCACACACACACATACGTACCGTGTTTAAGGATAGACCACTGATGAATTAATCATGAATCAGCATTTTGATTTTATTATTTCAAACATAATATTATTCGTAGAACTTTGAAGCTAGAGTCGTAACTATAAATGTTAGGGACAATCATCAAGAGTACAATTGTGTTTATTATTATTCCAAATAACAATTTCAGAGAGTTGGCGTTGGAGAAAAAATGCTCAATGTTACGCGTCGAATGCAGTAGTTATTTTTCAGGTAATGCTGCGAAAAAACTTGGATTTCAGTGCGAGTATTCATTGCGGTATCGAGAATATAAGAACGAAAAAGGTGAATTGGTATTCGATCCGCCGTCTCCTCATGAATATTTTAAAGTATATACACTTCTTATTGATAAATAATAACATCGAAATAATATAGGTACAAATATATAAAACAAAATAAAACCGTTGTTTAATAATGAGATTCTGTTGTTTTTGTTTTTGTTTTGTTTATGGTATACCATTGAATCCGTAAATATAAAGCGTAGTTTGTCCCGACAAAAATTTAACTAACAGCTTTTAAGCATTTCATTCCAAATTTAATTCAATGTTCTATTTAAGCTGATCTAATGTTTCAATTAATTGAAGTTCTAAAGAATTTTCAATGTTATATTTATATTAAAATTAAAAGCAATCCAACAATATCAAAGGCGATGCACAAAAAAAAAAAAATTATTTATTAGTCAAAAACTAAATGCATAAAAAAATGAACAAATTTCAAGATTTGAATTTACAATAACAGTATCTTTTAAATTTTTGCTGAACATTTAATTATTTTTACATTTTATTTATATTAATTTTAAATATAATATTTTATTTCATTTTTTTGATGTGTAAACATTACGGTATTCAGATCCTTCCGTTTGGGCAGTGAAAATTTTCGAATATACTGTAATACATATAATATGTTTTATTTTACAAACTAAATTATTATATTTTAAATTCATTATGTTTTATGAAATACATTGACTATTCCAGTGTATTTGAACTAATTCCCGAGCTGTTACGAAGGTTTATCCGAATCCGTTTCCAACTTCCCGGGTCAAAGGTCAATTTTCATTTCCATTGAATACAGATTTAGGACTGTCTATATATTCTGCGGGTATAGTTATAAACAGGGCTCAGGAGTTAAAGCATTTGCTTAATTTTATGGATTGACTTAAAATTTAACAGGGCGCTATAGAAGTGTATGTCAAGTTATAACACGTAGATACAATTATGAAATTTGAAAGTTATATATTAAAAAACTGTAAAAATCAAAGTTGCTCAAAAAAAAAAAATAGAGTAAACCAAATCCAGTGTCAAAAATGGTGGTTCCTATTTGAGAAATTTTTATTTTACTGTGCATGCGCAGATAAAAAAAAAGTTAAAAATTAGAATTTATCAAAAACATATGCATTTACATGTCCAGTATCCTGTAAAAAAAAACTCGAATTAAATGCAAGGTCATGCGTTCGAAATATTTCCGGTTACCTTTAAAATTAAGTACACGGTATAACCTAACCGGTAAGTGGAGAAAAATGAATTATCAATAAATGTATCTATAATAATTGGAGAGAAATGGAATAGATTTTAATTTTAAAATGGAAGTAGTGTAAAATTTACAGTGGAAAAAAAACGCTATCTAATTTTCATAGAAAAATAGTTTTGGCCCAAAAAATACATGTTTTATTTTAATAGATACTTGGGTAGCACTTATTTAAAATGGTTTATGGTTGTAATGGAAATGTACTTACTGTTTAATTCATTATTTGTTAAGTATTCTCTCGTGGTAAAAATTGTTGACACATCATACAATATTCATTTATATGAGTACTTATAAAACTTATAACTCCTTTTTAAAACTTCAAATATTTTAATACTTAGACGATTTTCTACTAGATTAAAGTTTTTTAATGTTGTGTATGAAATGTTTTAATATAATAATATTATTATATCTATATACTAGGTAATATCACATTGTACGATAGCAAATAACTAATTATTTCAATTTGACGAGTGAATTTGACTAGTCCTAACTTTCATTCATCATTTGAGGTTCGGGTAAACTTATACAAGGTACAAAATTATTGTAAAACTTTCATTTTTTTTCTCTTAAAACATGAATTAAATAATTTAACAAACGATGGTTAATTTAAATACTATATTTATAAAAATGAATAATTATAAAATATTGAATATATAGGTTGATAGGTGCTTATATTATGCTTATTAGTATTTAAATTATAGGTATGCTATTAAATTACACGTGACTTCATTAACTCATCGTAATTAAAGGATTGGGTACACAGAAGACGGTCGTTCGCGACGACAAGCCATAAAATTGTTCAAAATTACATAACTTTGAGCGGGCCACTTCTTTGTTATGGCAGAAGAAACTAAAAAATTAATAGAGAAAAATGTAAGCAAATACATACTTTTGTATAATGAAAATGTTGATATGTTTAGTTGTACTAGTTTATGTTATTCCTCGAAACACTCGTGGCATGAGAAAATATTGAAAAAAAACTATCTTTATGATATTTAAGTTCAATACAGAGGCGATGGTATCGCCAATTATCCTTTTTTCGTATTTATTCCATACACCCCGATTCGTGTTTTATTTTTATTTTTAAGAACAATTAATGAAAAAGTAGTTTGACAGAACTTAATGTTTTATAATATACACTGAGAGTAAGAAAAAATAAAATGCAGATTATAACATAAAAGTAAAAGACGGTGGATAACGGAATATAGGATTTGTATACCTACTGGATTAAATTACACTAAACGAAAATGAAATTTAGGTTAAATTATAATAATTAAATTAATAGGTTAAACTTGATTAAACAAAAATGAAATTCTCTTTAGATCGCTGAATACATCGTATTCTGTTGTGTCATCATATCCATTGACCGCCGTGAATATCACGTGATCGCTGCCCAACCCAATAGACCGCATTCTGTGTGTAACCGGGCCTTTAATTACGATGAATTAATGAAGTCACGTATAATTTAATAGTATACCTATTATTTGGATGCTAATGAGTCATCACTTATTTCTTCCCTCTTCTTGGTTCATAAATGATACTCACTCAACAGATTTTCAAGCTTTTCATTAAGCAGATATATCTTATGGATTTCTATTCATTTGTTTTTAACATCATTCTAATTTTTCATAAATTTTGGCAGTAAGATCTGGAGGTCCCCAAACTTTTCGTGATGGTTAGAAAATCTGGTTGCTTGTTTGATTAGCACATGGTTAAGAAATGGGTAGTAAACATTTATTTTATAATATATTTCGGCTGTCTCTGAAGTATTATTGGTTTTTCCTTTTTATCTGTTTGTGATTCTATAAGCAATTCAATATCTAAAAGTTCTTCAGAATCTGCCACAATTTTTAAAATTCCTTATCATTTTGTATGTCTTCTGTTGTTTTTACGATGTCTTCATATTTGCATGTTTCAGTCAAATCAATATTTTGATTTTGAAGAATTTTTGTAAAATTTTCGGTGAAGCTGAAAACTTTTCACAAAAAGCAAGCACATAACAGCGATACTACAAATTGTGAGTTTTTTATAGCTTGTTGTAATGATAAATTTGTGAAGCACATTCATCTTCACTTTTTATTATAATAAAGCAATATATTTTTTTTTTGTAATGTTTAACTAAAAGGTAATTACATTATTAGACTTACATATAATTTTTTTTCTTATTATTATTATTATTATTTGTTAACGGATTGGGATTTTTGAACGGAGGGGGTTTGTACTCCTCAAATTTCCCTTACCTACACTCTTGATTGCAAACGCTCAAGTTTTCTCGGCTTAGAATTCGTTCATATGAAAATTGAATAAATTAAATTAAGTTATACACTAAAAAACTACTAAAATGTAATATTTTACATGATATGAATAAATATAAGTGAAGTTATAATTTTGAATGCAATAATGATTAATTAGTTTAAAATGTATAATTAAAATATATTAAATAATAACTTATTACTATCAAGGTAAGCAGTTAAGATTTAAATAAGCTGAGTCAATAACTTTATAGTTGAGATTTATTGTAGTATTTTGTAACTGTATGATGGGAAACCATATGTAGGTAATAGAAGTGGCGTCGAACTTCAAAAATTTTACTCAGGCCAAATAAAAATACAACAGCCTCAAGTACCCCAGTGGCCACAAGCCTACAGTTTTACTTTCCTTAAAAAAATAATTTGTGTTAACCTAAGCATAGGATTCAGTGTTACTGAGTACTAAGGTTTTACGAGATATTTGATTTAGAAAAATGATATTAGTATTATATTTTGTTGCTTTCATTATATTTCATTTAATTGAAGCCAGCAATACAGTATAAACATAATCAAAACTATTTACTGTTAAAATTCACATCACCTAAACTTAAATTATGAGAAATCAAGAAATAATTAGTGCTTCTTGATTATCAGATTTGTTTCAGTCATAAACTAAAGTATAATTTATTTGGTCAAAAATTAATGGAATACACTAATCATACCATCATCTCAACTTTTATACTATTTTAACAAAATTTTTTCATTAAATCATTTTACAACTTAAGAAAGTATTTTTACAGTAAGCACAAGTGATAGTTTAAACTTTGAAACAATATTAAATACTTTATATATGACTTCATGTAATATGTAATTATTTTGGTATCAATTATAATTCATCCTGCATACATTTTAATAATTAAAAGTAGAAACTGGATAAAGAAAGATTTGAAAAATATTCTTTATAACATTACTTTAATTTTGGATATAACTGGATAAAATAGTTAAGATAATTATACAAAATATGTTTTATTAATATATTCAATTATTATATTATATTATAAATTATTTTAATTATATACTTAAAAATATAATTTTAAAACAATAAAAATTCACTATTTGTCAAAAACGAATAAAACATATGACATTTTAACTTTGTTATAAACTATTATATTGAATTTCCATTTTATTTGTGGGACTCCCATCCAAACCATCCTTCTGAGTAATTAAAAATACTGAAAAACAAATAAGTTTTGAATTATTAAAAATGCATTAAGTTTTAGCTGCTTAAATAATGTTTACTTTTTGTAACCCAAATCTGCTAATTGCTGACAAGCTTTTAAACTTCTTATTCCTTTGGCACAAGAAAAAACAATATTTAAATCTTTATCTGGTTTAGGAAAATTGTATTTTTCAAAGAATATACTGGGAGTTGATTGAAAAGCAGTACTTAATTCATCAACTATATAAATAAAAATAAAATGTTGTAGTTCTATTAATATTAAATTTAAATAATTTATTTAATTTTAATTTAACAATCTTTACATACGTGGAATATTATAGCTATTTGGTAAAACTCCTGTTGCAGCCAGTTCTTCTTTATTGCGTACATCAATTATCAATGCTTCATTTGAATTGATAAATTTTTTCAATTGTTCATAATTAATTTCTTTAATCACTGGTGAAAATTTGCCACCTATTTTTCGACTTTGACTGAACATATTTGAAGTTGGTGTAGTTTTATCTTCAACATTTTAATGTTATAAATTAAATGATTTATGTTTAATTTTAGGAACATAACTGAACAAGTTAATATATTTTCAAGTTTTTTAATTATGAATTATGAATATCTAATAAAATAATAAAAATAAAATATATATTAAAAATTATTCAATGGTTAATACTCGTAAATTTATATATAAACAAACAAATAGTTTATACATAAAATTAAATAAAAGTTTGACCTGGAGTATTATTATACCAATTGTTATTATTATTATCAATATCATTAATTAAATTTTATAAAAATACCTATTACCAAAAATGATATAAATTGATTAACATTTACTACACATTTTTATGAATAAATCTTAATTCTAAATATAGTAAATAGGTATTTCTCTCTATTTGGATTATTATTATGTAATTCTATCAATTACATATTACTTTGTCCCAATAATATGAAATATCAGAAAAAAACAACATTTTGATAGTGTTTAATCACTAATTTAATTAATTATACAGAAGTTAGTTTTTTATTTTTTTTATAAATTTCATAACAAATATGTAATGCATCTAAATATAGTTATATAAAATGAAAAAGTAATACAAATTATACAAAAAGAAAAATCAGAAGAAAAATATACTAATTTAATTTTGAAAAATAATTTAAAGTCATTAATAGTATCTAGGTATTATATAGTTACATTTTCACTGAATGTTAAAATATGTAGTTTAAACAGACTACTTGAGCACTTAAGAGGTGTTCTTCATTTCCTTATAAGAACTTAAGTATAAGCAGTGCAGTTATTATATATACTTCTTTGTTTTTTTCAACTCTTTAAGCTTACCCTAAAACAATTAGATAAAAATAGTTTTTGGCATTCATGGCTTTTCATTTCCTCAATTGGTAATTTTTAGAAACCAACGAGATTAGTTAACTTGTTTTGTCAGTTCCAGTTATGTAATATGTCAGATAATCATTCATAATTATTTATTAAAAAAACTTGACAAAAATGTCTCGATTATTCAGTATCATAGTCATAATAAGAGATGAACATTTATACTACAATCATCAGTTTATTTCGGTAGTTGAAAAATTTTCTCTATTAAGCAGTTGTCCTTATTAACTGGTGTTTCTTTTAAGTGAAGTCTATTGTACATATATTATTATTATAGTTGTAAAAACCCTAGAGTATAAAATTATTCCCATTATCAGTTTTTTTTAACAACTGTCTACTAGAATTTATACTTGTATCATAGATTAAATAGTTTTATAATCATAGTATACTTAAAAGAACTTATTATAGTAGCTGATTCCTCACAACTGCGAAGAAGTAACTTACAGAATAATTTTGGTTTGGTTTTCTTAATTTGTGCATTTACTATACTTGATGAAAAAGGGCATATTCGTAAAATTAATGGAGAGAATCGATTTCTCACAATTTTGAACATGTTTTGAATGTTTAAATTATAAATTTCAAGAAATTTACAAAAAAATTATAGATATAAATATAAAACTGATAAAAACGAATATAATTGATAATAATTTAAATGATAAAATTGATATCATAACTTGATAACTCACCGAACATTGATACCGACGAACAAATAGACAAATAATTTGGTTTTTTTTTTAATTTACAATTTAAGTAGGTAATGTGTATTATATTAATTAATTTTATGTTTTTTTTTTATACTTATAGCACGAATATAAATCCACTATTATAAAGCGAAATTATATAATACGTAATAAGTTAATAAGTTTTATAAATTGTATAATAGTTATAGTTTTTGAGAATGTCAAATTACAATGATCGTCGCCGAAAAGAACGAGAAAATATTGGTTTGGTTGGCGTACCATCAGTATGGGAAAAATCACCTCCACAACCACTAAATGAGTAAAGAATTTTATATTTTACAAATTAACCTTGTGGAAGTTATTAATATTCGTTTTTTAAATAATTTATTTACATTTATTCTATTTTGCCATGATACAATAGATTCTAGACACATATAACTCTACTTTAAAATTACATATACGCTAAGTTTCTGAATATAATGTACTATTGTTAAGATGATGTGTTATTGGAACAAATTTTTAAACCATAATTTGCATTTAATATCATATAATTAATTTTCATTTTGATACAATACAAAACATCAATAACAAACAAATAATTTATTTTCATTATTATTAATTTCATCAATTTAAATTAGAACTGAATTATAAATATAGTAATATTCATTAGTTAACTATAAATATTATTAAAATCAAATACATTTTTTGCATACAATAATTGTTTAAATGTTTGTGTTTTACAGCTTAGATTCTGATGAAGAAAAAGCTTTAAATCAAAACAATCTTACAATTGATCCAGTAAAATCACATAAAAAGAGAAAAAAACAAAAAGATAAATCAAAGGTAACATTTTGTGTCCAATCTTTAATAAATTGTTTTTATATTAGTTTTAATAAATGGTATTTGAATTATAGAAATCTAAAAAGTCAAAAAAAGTGAAAAAACACAAAGAATCACATAAGAAAAAGAAAAGAAAAAAAGTATCCTCGGAAAGTTCAAGCGGGTCAAGTAGTGAAGGTGAAGACGATGAATGGATTGAAAAGAAAGGTATAAGTTAATTAGTATAATTTATATATTAATTGAGTATTAATTATCTTATTAATGAAAAATGTATTATTTAGCTACTGTAGAATCTATTGTAGATGATACTGTTGGACCATTACCAAAGCCTAATGTGACATTGACTCAAAAAGAGTATGGCCGAGCTTTACTGCCTGGTGAAGGAGCAGCTATGGCAGCATATGTACAAGATGGTAAACGTATTCCACGGCGTGGTGAAATTGGTTTAACATCTGATGAAATAGCATCATACGAGTCTGTTGGATATGTAATGAGTGGTAGTCGACACCGACGTATGGAAGCTGTGCGTATTCGTAAAGAAAATCAAATTTATTCGGCTGATGAAAAACGTGCATTGGCCATGTTCAGTAAAGAAGAACGACAGAAAAGAGAAAACAAAATTCTTACTCAGTTTAGGGATATGGTTAAAAGCAAAACCTCAAATAAATAATGAGGTAGAAAATTATAAATGTTTTCATGTTTGTGAAGTATAGAAACTTAAATTTTCTTTGACTGATTACAATATATTATATACCATTATTTTTATAATAATAATCAGATTATTATTTTTATTTAAGTTTTATTAATAATTATAGCTATTACAGCTTTACACAATGATATTCCAAAATATTTAAATTTAAACAAGATTTTATTAAAGCAAAAAATAAAACATTAATTTTAATTACATTTAAGTCAATTAGATGTAATTGTCTAATTTACATTAAAACTAAATTTGTATGTGTAGTGTCATAGCTATAAGTAAATATGGGTTTAAATTTGATCGGAAGAGGCTCTGAAACTATTAATTACCTTTTTTTTTTGAGATTTAGATTTACAGAAAAAATTAAAACTGTTGTATCATTTGTATCGGTCACAATACTTAAAGTAATTTAATTGACTTTGTAAGTCCAAACAAATTGAGAGAAATTAGTAAGTGCCTTTAACCCACTTATTTTATGAACTTTTGGTTGTAGTAGTATGTTTTATTTTATAAATATTGCTGAATTGTAAAAATGTTGATTTTAAGATTGAATCGAACATTTTTTTTTTATTAACATTCAATTTACTTAGTAAAACTATGAAAACTGCTGCAAGCAATGTATTTTATGAACATAAACATAAGTATTAAGTATTATAATTTAATTTTTTATACATTATTATTTTATAAATCTTGCATTTAAAGAATATTGATAAATTATAGGATTTGAAAAATGATTTATTTATTCACATTCTTACGTTTATATATTTCCTCAGGCTTATAGAACTGACCTTATATTTCTAATTAATTTCCGAATCTGTGAGACAAATTGTGGATTCAGAAATGTATTGTTTGGAAACTGCTTTTAATGGTGCCTTATTTTTAATGCACAAACAATAATGTTAATTACATAGTGAGCGTGATAATTTATTACACTACCTACTATATTACATAAATAATACCTTATAATGTACAGATTAGTTAATTTTTTTTTAATGATAAACAAATGGTACAATTGATTTATTTTATAACGGTAGTTTATCTTAGTTCACTAAAAGCCGTCAATAATTAAAACTAGAAAATATATCAAATTATACAGTGAGTATTATGGTAATCTTATAAATCTATAGAAATGGGGTTCTTCGACACAAATTAGGCCGGGGATCTCGGATGCGTTTGCATCTGTGGTCAGATCGACACTGTATTCAACTAATTATCAAACGACTTGATTACCATCACTGTAGTAGATTTGAGACGATCACTAACTGGTCAAAAAAGATCTGGGGAGCCTGCAACTTCTCCCTAAACGACGCCACTGACAGGGGCGGATTTTATCACTAACCAAGGGAGGGACTAATGGAGGTTTAAGAATTTAGTTAGTTGGTTTTTTAAATCTATATAAAATTTTAAATTACAGAATATGTTTTTGAGTCCCTCATAAGTGAGTCATTTTTTTCACAATAATGATAAAATTTAAATAGTTACATTATTAGTATCAATTTTAATCTGAAACCATTTTAAAATATAGCTAAATACATATAATTAACAACAAAATTGAGCTATTTATTTATAAAAAATATATTTAAAATAGGTACCATATGACCATTGACGATATTTTATTATAATTATTAATATATAATAATACTTTGCTTTGTAAAATAGATAGCTTAGTCCCAAGGGGGGGGGGGCTAATGCCCCTAGCCACCCCCTTAAACCCCCCCGTGACCACTGATAGTTATTTACATCGTACCATTGATAATTACAAACGCTATACTTAGTATTTATATTCAATGATCGCACATACGTCGTCTCGAGGCGTGATCATATACGAAAATATTTACAACCGTTTAACAGAGGTTGTGACTTTTCGAACGAATTGCATTTTATCACGCACGATTTGGACAATTGTCAAAGCGTCTCGCACGGGTTGATGTCGCAGTCGACAATCGCGTATATAAAATTGAATTGGAACGTACAAAACACAAATGTACATTTGAATTGACCTCATAAATATAAGCGCGAAGTCAAATGATTTGTTTTCTGTCGCTTATTACTCACGTCGAATTATACGGCAGCAGAAAAAAAAAGAAAAACCGTAAATACATAATCCACATAGCTACTAACATTATTATTTTAACCATAAGTGCCGAATTTTTTTTGAAAATGTTGTTAAATACGAAAAAAATTTCTTTGGTATAGGTTAAAAAATATCAAGTTTTCCACATTACTTTTGGAGTTATGACTAAATAACTAAAATCTGAAAAGTGAAACTCTAGTTTACAGCACGTTTTTACTCGGTTTTAGGGCAGTTTTTCCTCACGTCTAGAAAAACTATTGAAATTTTGGAAAAATTACCTCTTTTAAGTATCACTGCAGGCTAATATCGAACAGCCACATAAATTCATAATACTTTGGATACCCTAGAACAATTGTCTCATTTTCCACCTCCTCTTGGGGCGAATATGATGAGTGTTTTCATTGCGTAACAAGTATTTAACTAATAAAATAGATAACGCATGACTTTATCTTCGACTAATTGATATTTTGTTGATTCAATTTTTTATTTTAGATTTGAGAAATTAAAAGATCGAGGAAAAAACGTGTAAATGTCAATTGATATTGAAGGAGAGTAAGAAAATAGCACATTTGATGTAAAAAATATGACTAACAAAATATATTTTTTTTTTAATTCTAAACAGTACCAAAAAATTGTTTTGAGTACTAAATAGAAACCGATTGAATAAATCAATTTAATGTTATTAAGTGTATGATGGAGACACTAAATATACAGACTGGTGTAATCGTACATGTAAATTTAATAAGACCTCAATAGATTATTATTACTTCTCAGAATAATGAATTTAGTTGTTTTCATCAAATTTTAAACTAATCATGAGGTATAATGTACTATGCACAATGTTTGGGATTTTTTTGAAAAAATTAATGCATTCATTTTTTCTTTCACTATCAAAAACATCAAGTGTTATTACTCGAGTAGTTCAATTAATTATTTAACAGTACATGTATGCCAAAATGTATTTGCCTGTAAAGTATTAATTAAAGATTACACACAGGCAGTTAAAACAAATAAGATTATGGATAAGTGGTGGTCACTGTTGTTGACAACATTTGTCAATCATAACGATTGAAACAATATTATATATGATTAGAGTATAAATATTTAAAATAAAAACTTTATACAACATTGAATACCTATATAAATATTTGATATTTTTATGTTTAACCTGAAACTTGTACCTAATAATAATTTGTTAATATTCGCAAGCAAATACGAGCATTTAAAAATGAATGGAAACTTAAAAATTTAAATGTCTATTTATAAATTCAATGTTTAAAAATGTGTACAGAACATTTATCAAATATTTTATATTTTTTTAAAATATTTATAAAATATTGAATAAATATACCTATATCTTTGTTGTGCAAAGGTGGATCCAATATCTTTTTACGGTCTGGGCACTTAACAGGAGAATTCATAAAAAAAACCTAATCATAGACGTTTGTAGGGGTATGTTGGAGGGCTTAGACTCCTCCAAATAATGAAACAATATTGTACAAAAACAATCAACATTTACTATTGTTATGTATTATTTAATTCTTCTAAATATACTTTATTTTGTTATTTTTTCCAACGCGGAAGACACTTGCTCTAGTACCCTTCCCTGGATCTGCCAATGACACTATTTGTGGTTGTTTATCAAGGACTCCATTCATGAACGCCGTGAGAGGGGTGCAAGGGAGTGCACTTGCATTCCTCTGGATTTAAAAATATAAAATAGATACTATTATTATCATTATCGGATTTTCTAGTAGTACTTTGAAGTCGTTCCCATATTTGGTATAGGTATTGTATGTTAATGAAATATTTAATTTATATTATCTCGTTTTGAGTTTACTCGTATATCTTGTGTCATATGTTTCATGGAATACAGGCAAATAAAACTCAATTTTAAATATTTCTCAGGACTCCATGATAAAATACTGCTTAAAAAAAGGTTCCATGGTTGAAAAAGTTTGGGAATCGCTGAATTAGAATATAATTTATTTAATGGTGACACCACTGAAAATTATATTATTATACCATTATTAAAAGATTCATAAAGTCATTATCAAATCATACAGTAAGATCAGGTCAATCTATTAATAAAATTCAACGAGTTTAAATTGGCTTTGAATACAAATTATTCAAACCTTATATACAAAAAAATGAACGTGTTCTTAACACCACAGATTATTTAGTATACTCTGCTAACACTAATTGTATAACAGATATAACAATTAATCAAATATGATCTTGGCTGTATATTTAAAATATATTTGTTTCATAATTCTAGTATTAATATATTATATAATGTTCTTATCGTTTTATTTTATATATTTTTTATTTAATGAACTTTATCTAATTAATTAATTATCAAAATAATCTTTCATATAAGAGTATAGCATATAAAACATTAAATTTCTTTGAGTTTAATTGTATAGCAACATGCATCATCTATAGTTTTGACTTTTCTATAATCAAAAAGACATATATGTAACATCATCATTTTTTTTTTTTTTTTTTATTAATGTTTGTATATAAGATTAACAAAATAATTAATATATTGATTCATGATAATATTCAATTCAGATATGCATAATTAACTACTTATATAAATAATTTAATTTAATTTTAAAAGATTAATGAAAAATAATAATAAGTCATAACCTTACAAAATGTTGAGAGAATATTTTCAATCATACGTTTCTAAACTAAAAACACTCAGTCATATCTATAAAATTTAATTTAATACTTTTATTATATCAAAAAACAACAAAAAAAACTATATTTTCGATACTATAAATAGTTGATATAATATCAAGAATCTATTCATACATAAATATCATATCACTCATTATTTATTTTTGTTATTATCAAAGAGAACACAATACAAATGGGTAAACATTTTATGAAAACAGTAAATATATAGATAAAATTATTATTATTAACATTATTTAAAATATATCTAATAAAATTGAGTAAAAATTATAAGAATAATGTTTTACATAATAATTAAATTATATGATCACAGTATATAATTTGAGATAGTTGGAATTTACAATTTTTAATTAAGTAAGGAATGCAAGTTGAGCTAAATACTTAAACAAAATATGAATCAGGAGAAGGAACCTTTTGAATTAATCCATAAATTTGAAGATAAAATAAAACTATTACAATAATTGTTTTAAACATCTGTTAATGGTGAAAAGAAATTTTAATGTATACATAAATGACATACATAACAATTTTTTTTTCGGTAAACAATCCCTGATTCAAACCATAATTAGATACACAATATACCTAACCACATATAAAACTATAATAGGTCATTTTATTGTATAATTGGTCAGTTTCTGTTAATTATGACAATTATCTATGGTATTTATGTTCAAGAAATGGTAGAAGTTCTGATATTATCATGAGTTTGAGCAAAATATATTATAAATACAATACATATTTCATGAATTTCAACCATAATTTAAGGCACCTACAAAAGAATATACAAATTGTTAAATTATATGACACGTTAAATGTATATTAATATGTGTAAACCCATAGTTTCCACTCTTTCAGGGTATATTCAAAATTTCATAGTCTGAAAACAGAGTATTAATTCTATTATGAACTGTAGTAGCTTTGGAAATCATATCGGGCATTGTATTTAATGATTCTTCAACTGATTCATCACCAATGGTCTAAATAAAAATAAAGCTTATTAATTATAAATAATATTATATTGTTTGTTTTAAGTTTAAAATCTGTTGTATATAAACAAGTAAACTTAATTTTCAACTAAAATAAATTAAAATTTTTATAATTATTACAGATAAGTATAATTCTAAATTAAAATTTTAGTTTGGAACAATATTTGTTACATGCAATAGAAGGATAATGGATATAATAATTTATTGAATTGTTTCATCATAAATAGTTAATTAGTATTATTAGAGGAAAAAATCTCTTTTGGAATTAGTAATGTAAGCAAAATAAAAAGTTCACAAAATAATATTATTTACATATTTAATAATTTTTGATTTTTAATGTATTTAAATTAGAGTTTAATACATCTACTGAATAATGTATGATATTGATTTTTTATATTAAATTATAATGATAGCATGCTGAAAGTGTTATCATGTTCCTTAATAAATACAAAATATTAAGTACTATTTTATATTTTTACAATATACAAAAATACACTAGTTAATGGTAAATGAATTTCATTTATATATTTGAATATAAAATATAATATTTAAAAAAAGTATAGGAATAGTCTTAAATATAATAAAATCTTTATGAAATACTCACTTGACAATACAAGTTTTCTTGACAAGGCAAAAAATTCATAGCAAGCCTAGCTCCGTGGCGTATTAACCAAGTATGATGTTTTGCTAATGTTTGATTGTAAGATTCAATAGCAGAATGTTTGGTACTCTCATTAGGTTTGAGATGAAGAAGTTTAGACATGAACAGAATGATGAATTCTAAAAACAGATATAATTAAATGGTATAGGTAAAAAGATGAAATGAATATTGTTCGGATGAATTACCAAGTCCTCGGTGCAGCCTCAATAATGTCACACAGCCTGAATTTCCCTTCACCATATCATTTGATTTTTCATACAGTATCATGTTTTGTACTGTTGAAAAATGTTGCTCATCGTCGGCTATTAGATAGTTCAGTCGATCAATTTTATCTTGAAGGTCTTTGACGACGAAACCGAACAAAGCGCCGAGTTGAGAACAAAACCTGCGAGTGAAACGATGTTTTAAATTATTAAACAATGATATTAATATGGACTGGATGGCTTTTGTAGAAGAAACCGGTGGCGAGCAGATTTCTGAAATAGTAGTAGACTTTAAAAATTCGAAAATTTGATAAGTGGCGGGGGCAGGACATGACGTTCCAAGTAGGTTAATGAATCGAAACACACGCCGTAGGGCAATCGCAATCGAACGGACGCCTCCGCGTCGAGTCACCGGGTCACGTAATGCTAGAATAACAACAGTACGTCGGTTTTTTCTACTCAACTTAGGCATGAATTACTTGCAAAGTTCCTGGTAGGCTATCACGTAGTTCTTGACGTCCACGTCTTCGTCCTGGATGAGTGCGTCATGGAACGCCGAGTGCACGGCCGGCACGCTGAACATGGCGACGCGTTATCGAACCGTACGGGGCTGGACGGGCTCAGACGAAGGGGATGGTGCGCCACGAAAGCAACCGTGAGGCTGGCGAACGGGACACGGTAGGTACGTCGAGCACGGCGTGATAACGAGTTATGATTTTATTAAACGGGGAGCGCACGTTCGCGCGACCGGTAGGTACGCGGACGCCGGCGACTACCGGAGCGCTACGGACGGACGATAGAACGTTACCGCGACCGTTCGACGACACGCGCAGCTGTTGCGCCGTCTTCGGTCGTCGCGGCTCTGCTGGACAGCACCCATAGAAAAGAGATTGACCCGACAGGGCTTCGGAGTGCCTGTCAATTGTACGGTAATTATTATGCAGTTGTAGCACGTGGTTATTACGGTTACCACGTTTGTTACGACTCACCGTTTTGTATCCTTCGTCCGTCCCGCCACTAGCGATTTGAGTTACGGTTTCCCCGGTGCGACTACCGCGATGATCGGTCAACGATGATTGTCCAATGATTAAACGTTGGACGATAATCATTGGTTTTTATTTTGCTCGAAGCATTTGCGATTTATTGATTGTTCACTATAGTTGGGTGTTTTTATTCTACGTTGTAGAAGTTTGTTTTTTTTTTTAAATTCAGAACGTGTTCAAAGTTAAGTATCGTAATAGACTTCAGTGCAAGGGCGGCTCCAGGGGTGCCCTAGGTCAAGCCTCCAAGCCCGTACCGAATTTATAAAATAATTTATATTGTTATAACAAATAATGCATATTATTATTATTTTTTTTTTATTATTTTTTTTTTATTGAAATTTTTTTAATTTACATTTAATCTCAACAGTTATATGTACATGTTATAGATGATTATATAAGCAACCCAGAATTAAGAAAGAACGAGATGGTAGCGGTAACGGCAGTAACGGATTGAGGGAAAGTATATGGCGAGCATCGGGTGTGATATTGAGATAATGGAGGAGTGAAAAGAAGCGAAAATGCTCTGCCGACAAGAAGGGGCAGTCAAACAAAAAATGCATATTATAATATGGACTATCATACGACTCGCACAAGTAAGTAGATAGAGCCATAGTGGTATGACGGGGGAAAGGAGTTTCTCCACACTTCGGAGACTAAAAACCTGGCTTCGTTCAAGGATGACTGAAGATAGACTATCAACATTATGTCTAATTAATGTATATCATAAAGTAAATATTCTAAACCAAATAGATCATATTATTGATATATTTGCCAATTTTAAAAATAGATGACTTGAATTTGTCATGTAAAAATTGTTGTTTTTGCTATAAGATTTTGTAAAATTATAACTTGCCCCCCCCCCCTAACCAAGGCTCTGGAGCCCCTGCTTTAGTGGCAGTCGCTCGAAAATAGCTATATACAATATGCATATAAATAATGCTCAACAACTATCGTTGCACGATCATCACGATAGTCGTATCAAGGAAATCGTATCTTAACCTACAATTAAACATTTTTAAGTATATATTTATTTTATACTTCATATATACATGTTTATAAATTGTAACTAATAAATCTGTTATATATAATATATAAATTACAATATAAATGGCAAATAAAATAAACGTAATTTTATGAATTATAACGAAACGTTATTTTTTTTAGTTCAATTTTAGATTCTTTCAAATACAATTTTCGGTATATCTTAGTGCAATACTGCAATAATTTTACTATTTTTTTATTACTACAACATCCGTGCCCAATTTATTAATATCACAAAAAAATTATCATTACCTATCATTACAGAATAAATGTAGGTTAGTAGAATTAATGAAAATGTTTAAAAAATACTCCACATTATGAGATAAAGTAAAAATTGTTAATTTAGTATAAAAAAAAAATGAATATTCGGTAATACTGTAATATTGTAATATTAATATCTAACACAATATGTAATATTTTGGAAAAAAATTATCTTTTTTAAATCTTAAAATTAAAGGTTTAGATATTTAATGTAAAAAACTCTGTGAAGAAAGAAACAACCAAAACATGACAAATCGTTAAATAATAATTTATATAATATAACACTAATTTTAACATCATAAAAATATAAAATTTCTAATATGAAAAAATAAATATTTTATAACTTATAACAATGGTAAAAAAGAAGAAAAATCCGGTGAAGTGAAAAAAACCAAAAAAAATTAACAAATTAAATTAGGTAGTTGAAAAAAGTTGTTCGATACAACAAAAGGTATAAAGAAATGTATAAAAAAAATCTAAAAAATTTATAAAAATGTATGAAAATGTATAAAATGTATAAAAATGTATAAAAATATAAAAAATGATAATGTTCTAGATCGATGTCTTTCATCTACTGCCGATTAAACATGGGATTACGCATATGGTCTCTGTGGCGTTACTACCGATTTCGGATTTAATAGTACTTCGGAGACTGTTAGTTCGATCGCTCCCCCACCCTCGCTCAACCTGTCTAGGTACAGAGCAGTGTTTGAGGAGTTCTTCCACTCCTCAACACTGACGTGTTCGATTTCCATGCGACCAAAACCATGATCTCTCGACACTTCCACGGTCTGAGACTTGTGGATGGTTTTGGGCACATGGAGAACTACAACGGGGGTGATCTCACGCGCCATCTCGAGAATGCCGGTTAGTCCACCCTTCTGGCGGCAGCACAAATCTTCGGCACTGAACGCCGGTTTCGATCCCACGGCGGCGAAGTAATCACCGCCTCGGACGTTATTCCGGACAGCGTCGCGAAGCTGTCGCCGACTCGAAACTCGATCCGGTGGGCGACTCCGAGCTCCGCGGCCTTCCGGTAAGCTAACCGTATTTTGGCCGGGTCGATGTCCACGGCGATCACCTTTTGGCACGTGCGCGCCAGCCGAATGGCCAGGCAGCCTATGCCACAAAACGAGTCGACGATCGTGCCGAAAGCGCACTTCCAGACCACGTGCGTGGCCAACACGTCCGGACACGCGGACACCGAGGAGTGCAACTTATCGGCAACAGGTTGTCGCTGGAACAATACTCTATAATACTCTAACAATAACCCTACTGAGGATCACGTCTGGTGACCAAGTCGCTCGCTGCCGTCGACGTGGCCCACAATTTTTCGCACCAGTAATGGATAGAGTAATGAGGGCTTGTTCGACCACCCCCGTACCTTCGTGGTCGCTTGAAGACGACTGAAGTGGGCCCGCTACGTTGGAACTGGTTTTGACACCGGAACCACCCACCCCTGCCAATCACTGGGGTTCCGAAGCCCCTGAGGTGGTAACAATAATTGACTGATAACAACTCATATTGTGGTTTTTCAAGTGATCTCCTTCACTACATTTTAACCCTACTGCCAGGGGGTTTTTGATCAAAGTTTTCTTTTCTCTAGGATGACTGTCACCCAAGGCTAAAGAGCCCGCCCTACCCTTTGTTGAGAACCGCTTTGTCAGCCCTCAGTTCGTCGATCGTCGAAACATGGAAGACCCTGTTGGTAGTAAACTACCGTTGGTATAGCTCTCGAAACTGTTGAGGGACGCAAGCCCCCCCCCCCCCACGTCAAGGTAGGTCCTCGTGATGGGGTTAGTCAAGACGTCACGCTAGATAAGAAACATACCCAGCTCTACAAACGAGGCTGGGAAAGATAATATATATTTTTTTTTACACCTCAATAAGGGGTAATCGTGAGAGACTGTCTCCTGACTATTACGGAATATATTTATAATCTATTAAGGTTTTATTAAGGAATTTATTACGTACATAGTCGATTTATGCTTATTTAACTATTTATACATTATAATTTATTAAATATACCTACACGTTTTATTATGATAAAACTCAAAAGTATAGTGGACACATTCTTAAATGTAGGTCTGTATACGCTTATGAGTATACTTGAATGAAAAAAGTTAAAGAAAAAATTTTGTATCTGGCAATTGTCAATAATTAATTTAAGAATAAGGTCTATACAACTTAAAAAAAAATAAATAAACATAAATAATAAAGAATATAAATAATAATAATAATAATAAATAAAAAGTAAATTTTTTAAAAATTACAAAAAAAATTGTTTATCTTCATTTGACTTTAAAATAACAATTTTCTTAAAAATAATTTATTTTTTAAATATTTCACAGTGTAGGCTTGAAAGGGTTGGAATAGGGTTAAAGTTCTTACCTGGTAGAAATATCTGCTATATTTTGTTTTTGTAACCTGACTGTTGACTGTATTTAGTATTAAAATACTATTATTAGAAATAATAAATAATTTTTAAAATATCGGTTATAATAATAGTTGTTATCATTTATCAGTAATGATTAAAAGGTGTGTCACAAAATACAAATAAAAACGATAAAAAACGATTAAGCACGTCCAAGAACGTACATAAACATTTCATGTTTTAAACACGTTCAATCATGCAAGACTTTGGCGAATCGTTTAGACAAAAATTCTTTCCCGGGTGAAAGCCCTCGCGCCATTCAATAGCACGGTCAAAACTGAACGTGTGAAGGGCATTGGCGCAACTAGGTCTAAAATATTGAGGGGGCTGAAGCCCTACAAATAAATTTAGTCAATGTGAGTCATGGGGGGTGAAGCCCCCCTACTTACCATTGCCGTAGACACAGAACAATAATTAGGTATTAATTGAAATAAAAACAATCATAAAAAATTATTACCATACTATATTATTAAAAATTATGTAGGTACTTACTTCTATGTAGTATGTTTTACATATAATATGACATAACACTACTGCAATATTCCACCGTTGTCCGTCACATTTATTAGATAACAATATTATTATTAATTATGTAGGATTGTAGGAATTACAAAATAAACTATAATAATAATATTTTATATTTATACAATTTACTTTTGAATAATTCTTTGCGTGATATACCCATATTATTTAGTATATATTTCACTATCCCATGCTTAAATTATCATTAAATTTTAAATAATCAAAAAAATTTGGGGGCTGAGCTCCCCTAAGCCCCCCCCAGTTGCGCCAATAGTGAAGGGTGTTTTAGTTTGGTATATATATTCGTACTTATCTGTTGAGGAGAGATATTTTCAATTTAAATTGTCATGATTTTAAATGATCAATAGTCCTTTTAAGTCTGTGTTGTATATTTCCAAGAAGTTTATGTAACTCAGCGAAGATATGTAACTCTTTTATTAGGTAGTAGGTTAGAATGACTTCTTAGTAATAAAATATAACTTTTAAATAATTTAATAAATAATAAATGTTTTTGAGCAGTTAATGGAGTAATAAAATTATTATTTTGCAATTGCATAGACTGTCTTGCTATACCAACATTTAAAATTGTAAACTATTTTATACCACGGTAGATATACTATACCTTGTACCGATTATGTACCGCCATTTATAGTTTAGTAAAATATTACATTATTACGTTTTAAATACCCATTGATATAGATCACTAAGGTATGAGGTGAGTCATGACAAAAATGGCTCACCAAAGCCATAACTGCTAAGAATTTTAATCAAAACCTCACGATTAACTAAATCGAAACCTTTATTAAAGTCGGTATAAACCACATCAACTTACAAACGCTGTTGGAATGATTCAAATACAAAGTTATCAAATAGGAGATTGTATATTGAAGTTGAATAACCAGAACGAAACCCATGTTGCTCCTCCATTAAAATATTAATTTTATTAGAATATTGTAATCTAATACTGCTGTTGAATACTATAAGTTAAAGTATAAAAAATTAAAAGTTTGTTTAAATAATTTTCGTTTTGTGGTCGTTTTACGTGATCCAAAACGCGCTTTTGCATTAGGATCAGAAGTCTATAAACACTAAGTCATGTATTACCTATTATATATTTCAGATAAATACTTATGTATCAATTATTCCTAATAATATACGTGTTCCTTTCGAATACTATCTATTTGACTTCTTACTATTTGTGTTGAAATCCCGGTTCATTTGTTTCTAGTGTTTAGGCCATTTATTATACCTAGCGGATCGTGTATTTTTTGTCTTCGTAAATATTACATTCTTATTATTGTCTGTATTTAAATTAACCTATTATAGATGGGCTATTCTCCTTACTTCAACTGGTCTCAAGGTCAAATGCTAAATTCAAATTACAGCTCAGAAACGTGTAGTTAAAGCCTTAGGGAGTTGACGCAGAGACTTTTTCGTGACCAATCAGCTAATGCACGGGAGGAACTCATTGCATTAGTATGATCAGTGCCGTCGTTAGCGAGCAGGCAACTTAGGCAATTGCCTAGGGCCTCGTACTTAAAATAAATTTGGGAGCCCACAGTTTTGTCAAGTTAGAATAGTTAAATATACTTAGATGTAAGCAATGTCGTATCTAGGAGGAGCAAATGAGTATGCTTGTCCCAGGCGCAGTTAGTATAAGGGCGCTCTTAAATTAACGGAAAATAAAAAATGTCATGAACATACAATGTATGATATGTCATATATCCATACATCCATCATCGTAAGGAAGCTGCATTTTAATTAGCTCCGATTCTCAAATTTCCTAGATTCGGTACTGGATGTAAGGAAATTGTACTAATTTTGCCTAAGGCCTCGCAAAAGTTTGCGACGGCACTGAGTATGATATACATGTCAACTTAAAGAAATCTAATAGTTCCGTCGACTGCATGTACTGGAAATCTTAAGTACCTTAATTGGCTGTACATTTGATTTTTAAACACCAAAACTGTTTCATTACATCTTATATCTTGGTGAATCGGGGGATACGACCGTTTGGAATTCCGAAATATTACCCATACTGTTTTATATTTTTTCACACAGTTTTTTTACTAACTAAATTGTTGTCACTGTACGAATAATCACTTCGCTATCGGTTTGTAAAAAATCATTGTTACCTATCTTGATGGAAACCAATATTTTTAAACTATCAATAATAGTATTTGCATTGCACATTGTTTTCGAGCTTAAATGTCAAAATTTCAATTATTATTCTGTTAACTGAAGCATTTCAAATTATTACAAACCTAAATAATTTATGTTCAAAAACTAACGGAATAGAAATTTACTTTATGCTAAAAATTAGTAATCCATAAATTTCTTACTGTGTTAAAAATACCTATATATAATGTTATAATAGTGAAAATATTTATACTATGGTAAATTAATACATCTTGCTCCCATTAAAATGTTTTAGAAAAATAAAACCATATTCGTGATATCAATACAAGCCGTTAAGTACAAGTTCGCATACAATATTATGGCTATTTCATTAATAGAGTTTATTATGATGGTTATTGTTGTGAATTGTCTGCATGAAACGTGCACATATTAGTCATTAAGAATAAAGCGATCCCATTATATGTTATAGTTTTAACCAGGATTTGAGAAATCAAGTATTTGCTTATTTTAATTGTTTTTAAATAAATAGCTTTTTTCCAATTTTTTTTATTATTTTTACTTCTTTGCATACTTCTGCTTAATTATGACACGTACCACTGATAAAAAAAAACCTATATATTTTGGTTGATTTCTGTTTTCTTTTCGTTTTTATTCATGGTAAAGCTAGATCTAAAAATACTTTTTCTTTTTTGTATCATATTTCCAAGTAATATAAACCAGCTTTTACTAAACTAAAAAATGTTTTTGGAAAAAATTATGGCCTTGGAGTACTAGAGAAAATTTCAAAAGTACTTAAATACAAGAATACGGTGAAGATAGCAGTGAATTAACCGACTATAGCAAACTCGATGACTATTCCAACGACATTATAATTTAAATGCGTATTAATCACGCTTGTAGATGTTGATCTTTCATTTTTGGCTTATAAAAGAATATTGATAAGGAACAGAAGGACTTTTGCATTCGAAAATTTAAGAAAACATTTGATTATTCAATGTAATAAAGAAGGTAGGAAACATTTTAAAATACATTTGTTTTTTTATAAAATTAATCAATTATTCTTAAAATATTCATAAAAAAAATTAAAATTTAGTTTTTAGAAAAATCAAAAAGGTTAGAATATCTATAAGTAATATTTGTATTGTAAAAAAGTTAAAATTTTCTCAGAAACTCTAAAAAGCTAATGATTTATGATTTTTTTTTGAAGATGAAATTTTTTCAAATGTTTTTGAGCGTTAAAATTAAACAATAATATAAGAAAAAATGATGTCGATAATCTTTGTCATGCCTTCTTTTTTGATTATTTTAATATTTTGAAGTGCTTATTCAGTGCTTATTCTGATTATTATAATTGTTATAAGTTCCGAACCCTAGTTAAAACATATATTCTGTAACTAGGTATAATGAATGACGAACGAAGGAAATAAAAGTAAAATAAAAATTATTAATGGGTACAGCTCAAATGTATTCGAATATTGGGCACACTAGTGATACGTTTTTTTGGAGGCCCAAGTCTACAGATGTTTTGATTTAACACAAATCGCGGCAGTTGTGGTTGAATTTGATGACAAATGTGTATCACCTATACTACCACGGTAATTCCGACGACTCGGATCGATGACTCTCTCACTATTCGTACTGCATTTCGTTAAGTTGTTTGGCAGAAAAAAAAAATTAAAAATTATTATTACTCGTGATGATGAGTGTATAAACGGCACGCGTTCGCGGGTTGAGTGTGGGACGGCCCATCGTTGTGTCCGACCATTGTACAATAACGACGCGAATACTATGACGCATACGTTGTAATTACAGACGTCCGGCACGTTTTTCGTGCCACAGTATATAGCGTCGGTATATTATATACCTCGGTGCAATAGATACATGTAATGATACATGGTCTTACGAGTTGTCAGCCCCATTAACGCGCCGCGCGAGTTCGTCTGTTTCGGAGATTAGCACATTGCGGCAGGCTCTCTTCGCAGAGAAAGATTTTAATTAACACATTCGTATCGCACAACGTCTGATCTTTAACCGAGAATCGAGATATTTTACAGTATATGTCTTGAAGATAATAGTCTTATTTCGAGTATCTGAAATACGTGGTAATCTAAAAGATTACATCGAAGAACACATAAAAAAAAAAAAAAACACTTTATTTTTCAGCTAGTTATTGTATTTCTTTCTGATGTATCTCTATGTGTATAGGTATGACTTAAGAAAAACTATTTTTTATACCTGTTTAAATAATACCTTTAAACTATATAGTGTATAAATATTGAAATATTTTAAGTATAGTTTTTCGTCGTGTTAAGTATTTTTACAACAACAAGCGGATTGATATTTATCGAATTCATAAACACGCACATGCACGATTTATTACCACCTACAAATCATCTCGATCGATCCTCCCACATGCGATATTTTTGCGAAATGATCGTTTTTTAGACGCATCCAGGGCGTGTTCAAAATAATAGTAATCCAGACAGGGTTATAACATATTATGTATTGTATTACTATAATTATTTCATTGTATTCGGGAGATAATATTTTGTGGAATCAATGATGATAAAGGCGTTTTGAAACCTTCGACTAAGACGAAATGGAAAATAAAAACGGTATCGGTCAATCGTCGAATGAAAAACTCTAGAACCGCCGCGCGCTACACGCGAAGCTGTACGATAACAACGGTTCTTAGGACCACCACCTCTACGGAAAACCACCTGAGTGCAGCGGAGACCCCGTGCACGCGCTCGTGCGTCCGATTGGCTTTCTTCTTTCGGTACGGTCCGTTCGTAATAATTAACAAACGCCCGTTCACGAGGACGAGTAGAAATAGTAAACGTAGGAGGAGGATAACCGCACGCTGTACATTATATTATACCCCATTACGGACATTGCAGTGTTTTAATCATTTTTCATTTTTTTTTTTTTTTCCTCATATAATTTGAATATTGTACATGCTTTACGTACTATGCACGTGCGTGCGTGCGTTTATGAGCTTTGTGCTAGACGCGGTGCACTCGAGGGTCACTTGCATAACACGTTCCCACGGTCCGGGCACGCCGGATCTCGGGTCAAGTTACGCCTCTTCTCCCGGAGAACGTCGTCGGGCAGACGTTTACGCGCGCGCCTCTCTCGTATCAGTCCGAAGCCGGTGCCTGACCAAAGACGCCCCCAAACAATTAAAGTCGCTTCGATAACACACTATCGCGCGCGCACGACGTCTGGGCAATGTACGAAAACGGCGTGGTTTTTTTTCCTCGTATTAAGGAAGAAAAAAAAAAACATCTAATAATAATAATACCACGGTCGCGCGTGCAATACCGTCGGACGCGGCCGTCGAAACGCGCCGACACGATCCCGGACGACCAAACGAGAGAACCCAGTACGTTCGTAATTACCGTCCGCCGAAGACGAGCTCCGCCGTCGTATCCGTGCCGGTGGTTGTTCTCCCTCTTTGGCGTGTGATGTGCCGGTGACTACGCAAACACTCGTAATGTAAATGTGCACCGCCGAGTTTCTCCGATTTAAATTCGTCTAAAACGCTAAAACGTCGGTGGGCCGGGGACGCGTTAATGTTTAGTTTCCGCCGCGGTATTGTCCAGCAAAGTAAGTGTGATCGATGATCGACTTCGTTAAGTCTACGAGCAGATATGTTCTCAAAATCCTCCCTGGTTTTGTACACCAAATGACTACGGCGCAATCGTAAATAGCGAGTCTCGACCATCGCGTTTGTGTGGTAAAAAAAAAAAAAAAAAAAAAAAAAAAAACGTTAAATCTCGAGTACAGTATTATAACGCGGTAAACATTATAAACAATAATAATAATAAACTGTAAGAACGAGTGCTCACGGGGTTGTTCGATCGCGCCATTTTTTGTATAAAAGGGATTCCTAACACGCGGCTACTATACACAAAATAAATTCTCAACCTTTTAATGCACTCTAATATTTTAAATCATAATACCTAACTAAAATTACTAATCCTATTGAAATGAATCTATGAATTATCTTATAAAGTTATGAGGTTTTATAAAAAAAAAAAAAAAATGTATAAATCACTGACAATTATTAAGAAATATTTTTTATGCAGTTAATTATATAAATAAACAAATTTCAGGTAAAAATTAATCTACAATACATAACCTACCTAACGTAATTATAATTCATAACGTTTTAGGATAGAAAAACAACTTTTATTTCTAGTGATTTCTATTTATTTTTATTATTATTTTTAATATTTTAAACATAGCATAAACATGTAAAAATTGTAAATTTAAAGATATGTACTAATTTAGGAAATAAAAAAAGTAAAGACGCCCTCGATGGGATTCAAAACTGATGGGACTTCGAAGTTCATCGCTTGCGAAAAAACACGACGATACATTAACTTGGGTACTACACAAAAGAGACCCATCTCAACAAGAATCTAATCAGAGGTCTCATGAATCGTAAGTTTGACATAAGTATAAATATTTCATTATTACGAGTATGTATAGTTTCATATACATTATCAGAAATTAAATTTATTTTCATATTTTCGATTTATATTCTTACTTATCATAAGGAATTAAATTAATTCATTAACTTGTATATTTTTATTAGATTATAATTGTAACAGGGTTACGTACCAGGAAGTATATGGATTCCGCCTATTTAATATCGATTATACCGGCTATTTCATAAAAATCAACTATCGATTCCGGCGGCTCTTATTATCACCTGATTATATTTATAAAGGAAAAATAAAAAGTACAAAGTTTTAGAAAATCAATTTACCTAATTTTATGAAAAATAAATAAATACAAATATACTCAAATGTTAAAAAAAAAAAATTTTTTTTTAGTATAATAATAATATTAATAATATTATGTCATAATTTAATAATAATAATTAATTTTGGTAATATTTAGAAACGTGTTTTACATACGTAAGTAGTATAGACATTTTTTATTATTAAGTTCTATTGATAAATTATCTACAAATTTTTTTTGATCTTTAAAAGCCTTATTTTTATGAACAGTAACTGGCAGAATCAACAACCAGCGAAGTTGATACAAAACTTTTATGAACAATAGTCGACGGAATCGATAGGTAGTTATTTTTTGAAATCGGAAGTTAGACGGAATCAATAAATCCCAGCGTACCAGGGTAATTTATTAGGATTCAATATAGGACATTGTGGGTTATCGAAATTTTTATAAATTAGACTTGAGTTGAAAAAATTTACTAATTTACCGCGGGATAACCTGGTATCTATAAAATGTAGTGTAGTAAAACGATCATATTTGTACGTTTGATTTTGATATTTTAGGGAAAATGATGACATACTCGTCAGAAAATCTTACGCTGGTCCGACGGCATCCGAGTACCAAGGAAAAAGGATGTACACCGACCACGTTCAAAGGACGAGGAGGAGTCACATCCACTCAAATATATTAGACTATGTCAAACCCGAGCCGACTTACGGCTACGGCATAACTGATCTAGACGATTTCCTCTCAAAAGTAATAATAACTACATAATATAATATATAGAACCATGAAGGTATTTAGTTTAAATTAAAATAAAATACGCGTGATGTATATTACATTTGCTGTTTTGTTCACCTATTACATCATTACTGTATAAAGTTCATAAACTTATTTGACACGAATACTTCAAATATATTTGACATACATGCGGATATGCTTGTTCAAATCGACATTTTCATGGGCCCTTACAGGGCCTTTCTAAGATTTTGGAGCTAAGAGCATAGTTAGAACGACTTTGGTAATAATTTGATTCGCATCCTAAATCGTTTCGTTTATCCTTTCCGCCAAAAAAAAAAAAAAAAAAAAAAGAAAAGATAAATATAATATTGATGTAATGAATTTAATATAATAAAATATGATTATAATAGTAATATTATAAATAATAATAATAATAACTATAATGATACACATGTAAATGTAATATAATTTTAAGAATATGGAATAATACAATATTTATACGATTGAGAGTGATAAGAGGGCGTTTGGTGTGGCCTTGAGAATGTAGAAAATGTAGAAAAGTTAAGACTTGTGGCACTCAAATCCATACATTTAGATACATTTTTAGATCAACGTTCTTTTTTTTTTTTTTTTTTATTTTTTTTTTTACAATATTTATTATCGAATTCTTCAAATGTTTTCATCGTTTTCCGAAACCCGAAACCCTCTTACCCGTTAATCGGTCTCGCCGTGCCGAAATCGCTCATCGACCGGACCACGACGGCTATTGTAACGGTTCACGGGGTTTTGCTTGCAGGCGTCCATCGGCCGGCCGGGCAACATACCCATGGTGCTGTGCACGGGGTGTCTGCTGTACCAGACGCAGCTGGACGACCATTACCAGACGGAGGTGGCGTTGCCGTTGGGCATGGTGGTGAACGCGGTGTTCAAGAACGAGCAGTGGCTGTACGTGCAGACGCCGCACGCCGAGGAGGGTTACATACCGTACGGCAGCTGCCTGCCGTTGGGCATCGTGCCGCCGCCCGACACCGTTCAGGCCCCGTGCTGGGAGACCCAGTCCGACGTGTTCCCCCGGCCGGTCGGCGACCGCCGCCGCCTCGGCCACCACAGGCACCGGCAGCACCACCATCACCAGCGCCGTCGGTCGGACGGCCACCGTGGCCGCGCGCCGGCAGCGCGACTCCCGTCTGATGGTAAAGGTTTCAGCGGCGGCGGCGACGATCCGGACGACGCGCAGTGCGACGTGGCCGCGTTACTGTTACACCGCGGCCATTGCGCGCGGCCGCCGCTGGACGACTATCACTCGGTCGTCGACGAGCACGACGGCGGCTGGCGCCAGTGGTCGTGGACGGACGGCCGAGCGAAAACAGCCGTCAACTCGATCACCGGTTACGGGTATTTGTGACCATTACGTGTACAGCAACGAAAAATCGCACCAAAAAGATTAATGAATACTTATGCAATATTATTTTCTAAAGTTTAATCTGTGTTCTGTTTACCAAAAAAAAAAAAAAAAAAAAATATAATAAATACGTGGTAATAATTCAGTATTGTTTATATTAATATACGTTACCGTCAATGTTCGGGTAATGAATAGGCGATGTCAGTATTGACATTCAGTTGCGAGCAATCGGTGAATGTTTCCGATCGTAACTGATAAGTTTGGTAAATGTAGTTTTTCGGCTATCGATTTGTGGCTAATAAAATTTTATACTTCATTTTAACGCTAATGCAATATTTGTTGAAAGTGTTGATTTGTCTATGAGTTCAATGCGATAACCGGATTAGTCACTTTTGAAGACTTCTGAATGCTGGGTCGCATGAACATTTACAGAACCGATAACGACTTATCGGTTCTGTAAAAATAAAACCGTTCTATTAATAAAATACTAATAAAGCGTTATCAGCTCGATAAGTTAAAAGTCCGATTTCGGATCTGTAATATATATTTTTTATTTTTTGCATAATTTATTTTATATTTTATATATATATACATAGACGATAGACATTAAATGATTTAGGTTAAACAAAATTTTGGAATATTTAATGTTTTTTGAACAGAACTTGGACGTAACGCGAGAATGGCTGCACGTCGGTGTAACGTTTTACAATATAAGCTATTATAGCCATTTCCGTTTAATATCGTTCCTTCGCCGCCATCGCTTGTGTTGATGCACGTGAGATGCGTCTGCGCACACACACATTAACTCGCAAAATGATTATAATAATAGTTTTTATCATTTTAGAAATCAGGACATTTGCATGATATCAGTGGCGTATACAGAAAATATTTTCGGGAGGGGCCACTATGGACAGAGTTCAATTACCGCTGTTATCTAAGAATTACTAACAAGGCACAGTAGTTACTTATCTACATTTCATTTACAGAATGTCCCAAAACGATTTGACGTTGGACGCAAATTCTTAATAAGCATAAAGCACCATTAAAATATAACATACGTTTAAAATAATTTTTAAGTTTTTTAAAACATTTCGGTGGGGGGGCTGTAACCCACTAGGCACACCCCTCCTATATACGCCTCTGTATGATATTGCCAATTTTGTGATCAAACACACTTTACAGTCTTCTGAAATATTTAATTGTTTGAAATTTAATCGGATACCCGAGCCAAAATACGATTTTCCTGTACGTGCAGAAGGTAAACATAATAGAACATTTCGATATAAGAATTTAGAAATATTTCCATGGTTAGTTTATAGTGAGATTAAAAAAGAAGCCTATAGGAAATTATGTGTTGTATTTGCTTTTTCAGGCGGTGATCAGGCAACTAGGTATATTACACAGAAAATATACAATACTAAAGTATATGATTTTGGTGTTATATTTGCCCCCCCCCCCTCCTTGGGATATTTCTGGCTACGCCACTGCCACTAACTAAATCATTAGATAAGTTACAAGGTGAAAACAATAGTTTTTTGGGATATATAGCTTCAAATATTTTAGTTCCAAGGCGTTTGTTAATATCTTTTACAAATTTGAAATATTGTAAGCCTCACTTTTATTAAATCTCACTAAACTCGTTTTTATTATATATTGGATTTAAGTTGTCTATAAAGTAAAACTTTATAATAGCCTCTGTGAGTCATCCTAAATTCAAATTAAGTCGGGTACTACTTAGGTACGAGTATATGAGTTTATGTAAGCCCCTAATTATAACTAAGTGTTGCATAAGAATAAATTCTGAAACAAAACCCACAGATGTGGTTGTTGAAGACTCTGTTAACAATAACAGTTATGATTTGTTGATAATATACAAAAGGACAATGATTTTTACAGTACATCTGACCAACTAAATTAAGTTATTATATTTATTAGGATTTTTTTTTTTGTTCATACGTGTATAATGAATATTAATTAAAACTTGTCATTTTAATTTCATGGTAATGACAGTGCATTTTTAAAACAACACTTGCTCAGAATTCTATAAACACGATCGTGAAAATAAAAAACTAAAAAAAAATGTTATGGCTGAAATGCTATCGACGAAAAAGCGTCGTAGTATGCAAACAGTTGCTATGATCAAAAGTATTATTAATATGTAATAAGGAACGAGATTTTAGTTTACCGTAAACCATCGACTTGACTATTTGAGTTGTTTCAAACTTACGGCGATACAGTACAACACACACATACGTCTTCGTGCACCGTTGTTTCCGATCGGTTCGTATAACCTTTCCGGCTAAGACTTCAGGAAGCACAAGTGCTACTCAAGTACACTACTTCTATTCGTATATAGCTATTTTACTCGAATGCGAGACGCCATGGATTCACTACCATACGCATCAGTATGGGACCTGGGGTTGCCAGCAACACCAGCGGACATGAGCTCTGAGAACGTGAACTACGGCCTCAGCGACATGGTCAGGGCCAGTTACTTGGCGAAACTGCGTGAAACGCTTATGTCCAACATGAGAGAAAACACTGCGAGTGACCGCGGCTCGGCTGAAGACACAATGGTCGAAATGTTCGTGGAAAAGTGTTTGGGCGAGATGGAAAAGGACGCGTTAAGGAAATGCATGGTAGCGGAGATATACTGCGAAGCGATGCGTAAAACGGTACGTTCACATCTGCTCTGTGATTCCCGAAATTCACCCGTCCATCCAAACTTACACTTTATATTTTGCGATAATGATCCGTGTACGGATAGCACTTAAAAAAAGGAAAAAAAACCCACGTACTACTTTCGACTCTTGCTGTCCGCGGGTGCGTTAAGGACCCCACAAAGATGCACTAAAACAATGATTTTCAACCAGGGGGTTACGACCCCCAAGAGGGTCGCGAATCATAGGTTTAGGGGTTGCCAAAAAAAAATGGATGGAATAATTTTTTCATATTATTTAAAAAAAACAAAGTAAATCATTTATTTTGTGAAATTTTTAAGTGTAAATTCATCAACATTGTTTATCATGTTAATATTTTATCGGTAATTAATACAATTTTGATGAATATAGCAACAATTTATTTTTTGAAGGAGTCGCATTACAAAAAAAAAAATAAAAAATGGGGTATCGCACTAAAATGTCGAATACAACAATATTATGCTAATAATTCACAATCGTATTGCTTTCTATGGGTAAACAGATAGACGAAGTGAACCACTGCACGGTCACATCAACGATCCATGACCGGCTGATGACGACGATCATAGCGGAAGCTGACAGTAAGAATCGTGAAACCGCATCGACGATTGAGGTCGCTGCTGACGGCGTCGACGAGAAACAGCAAAACTCCTGTGACGACTCGTACCTACTTCAGTTCCCGACGCAGGCACAAGTCTTCGGTAACTATATCATGGGCATTATTGCAAATAAAACCTAACGCCTGTTACAGAAAACTCACGATTGTTAACAATTAACTCCCAATCTCGTGGAAAACGAAAAATGTCTTTGCGCCAAAGTGTATATTATTATGTTGCCTTAAAATAAACGTTTAATTTACGCTTGCAGATCAACAGGACGAACAGGGCATTATGACACTCGCCATCGAGAATTTCAAGTGCACATCAATGTTTCCGGGATCGATATCGGAAGACATTGTCGATCCAAGTACCGTGCGACCCGATATAATTAATATGGTTAAGAATGATAAAGATCTCAGTGCTATGGTGGCTACAACGCACGAGTTCCGCAGGAACATGAAAAGACTACCCCGAGCCATGCGAGCCCGGGTAGACCAGGAGCTGAACCGGATGTTTGGTAACTGCCTTGATCCCGGGTATCGATCAATATTTTTGTCCAAAGAGGAGGAATGGATAATTTCCTACGAAAGGATCATGCTGTTGGTCTCAAACCGCATGAAACCATATTTCGAACACGAGAAAATCGCCAAATCCTCCGACTTTGAGAATATCGTTCAACTCATATCGAGGACCATGATGGATAGCGCCAGCGATCCGAGTACGATACTTTATTATTTTGTTGTTACGCGCCAAAAGCAATTTGACGTTTTTTAGGATGTCAAGAACATTTATAACCATCGTCGTCGTTACACTGTTTAAAAAGTTGTCATCATCTTTATATCGACTGCTAAATTTTATTTTATTTTACTATTTCTCTTACAGTTTATAGCCTAACCACTAATGCAAGTCTCAATAAATTAAACACGACTGCATTTGGTTTGTACTTACATGAAATATAGCAGGTTACATATGTAAGTGCTGTATCTCGTGCGAGAAAATCGCATTCATCAAAAATGACAGCTACGCTCTTAAATTTTCGGGCATCTGGTGTAAAATAGAACAATGTCGAACTGTCTCTGTTAAGCCAGTTCATATATTGTTCATATACCGTTGCCGGTCGTTTTAATTCTGCTCCTTTGCGCATTTTTCTACCAACAATTTTTATCTCAATAATTATTTATAAACATACAATGTACTTTTGCGTATTACAAAATTGCATTATAAATTGTTGTTTTTTGATTTTCTAGCTGAGATCACGATAAACCAAACCATAGACGGGTTTTTTACCGGGCACCCGTACAAATCCATCGATCAATTCATAGCCGCCAATGGTTATTTTTTCCAATCTGATCGGCCGTTGTAACCGTTCAAACCAAATGGTGTCTCGATAAAATATACTAAAATAGTAGTACACATGTAAGTTTTGTTTTTGTAAAGTATTGGAATTGCACCCAAAAGAAAATTCGCAAAAATATATCCTTAACCTAAGAATAAGACTGTCGCTTCTCCATCCGATCCTTAAATACAATATTACCTATAACAATATAATTTCAATTTATAAATGTATTCTACATGCCATGTTCATATAAACGTTTTAATTACAGGTACCGTTTTTGTTATTATGACATACAGCAATGGCTTTCATTGCATTATTGCTTTTTTCGTCAACTAAGATTTTGTGAAATGCACAAGACTTTGCCGGTTGGCTTTGCTGTGACAGCACATTAATCAGGCCCGTTGGCCTCAATTAAGACGACAATTATTTATTGTTATATATATGAAATTTATATTTTTTGTTAAATTAATATATTGTATTATGAAACTACGTATTTTGCGTCAAAAAGACATTCATTGTTTTTTTTTCTTCAAAAATGCGTAATAAAATGTTTGTTATTGAAATACGGTATGATTATATGATATTCTATCGTAAATGGTAAGATACTACGTAAAATATTATGTGTACAACGGGTGGGATTCCTAAAATAGTTAAATGTGCCACGAAACGGAACGGACGAAGTAGCCGATGACACCTTGTTGTGGTTCGCAAGTGATTTACAAAATTTACAAAGTTTTGCAAGTTCGATTGTAGACGACCATAAACGACGAAAGCACTTCGCATTAAGAAAACGTTTTTTTGAGATGAGCTCACGTATGTATCAGACAAGCGCAAGCCGAACAATGGTTACGTGATGAAAGTTTAAGCTATTGTTTTTTCTTATGTTTTTACTATAACTATAACTTATTTTGTATAAAATATTAACATCATAATATTTAATTGTTATATTTTATGTACTGTGAATTTTCAGTACTCTAATTTTGGTTCAGTTATAAATAATAGTTATAGATTTAAGTCTACTATTTTAATTTATTGGGTGATCAAATATTATGTGACAGCGGTAACTCTATTAAGTATGCGAGGTATAAGAAAATTAAGTTTACCAAGTAAACCCATAGAATTTCAATATAAGTATTGTTATAAACCAAAATTAGTGAAAGAAAAATAAAAATAGTGTAAAATACAGTTGGGTAAGTGATGGATATGAGATTGGATTGAATGCACTCCTCCTTGTTTAAGGAAGGTTATTCGGGGTTACAAATGTTCGAGATCTGATCAGTGCAACTGAGTTGTCTCGGAAGCTAAATAAAATAGCACTTATTTGGATCGTCACCGATCTTCGGGTGTTGACGTGGCGGACATAATATAATATTACGATGAATAGAGATGAGAATGGAGTGAAATAGAAATTAAGTGAAAAAAATCTCAAGTTATAGTGAACAGATTGTGGACACTTATTCTGTACAAAATAAATAAAGACACAATAACCCAAGAAAATTTCGATTTCCTAAAAAAAGTCTTTTGAATAACATTTTAAAATTCAAAGACGACATAATGCATTCGATTCGATATATATTAGCGTTTATGTTATAAGGCGGGACGCACACCAGAGCGATACGATATATACGATTTGCGATTTACGATAATAATTGTATTGCGACTTCCACTCACATTTATAATACGCAACTCTTACGATATTATGATATAGGTGGTAAAAATAAAACTGGAAAAAGTTACCGATGGAGATCTCGAAAGAATCCCACTAAGACAAACTAGAGCAATGCAAATTCGTGACACATTTGCGGAATATTTTATTTCTCCAGAAGGCAGTATACCTATCAAAGGAAATGTATATATAAAAATGTATTATTATCAATTATTATTTATTTGTGATTTGGGAATATCTAACAAGTGTAAAATATTTTTATTTTAATCGCCTATTTATTTATGACGACATAATATGTGAATTATTGATAACAATGCAATTCACTCATTTAATTTTTCAATATAATTGTAGAATATACAATTAATGTGCATTTTACTAATGACTATATGTGACTATAATACTCTCGATGTCAGATTGACGATTGTGCACTTTAAAATGTATTTGAGAGTTTTTAAATTGATTGTGAAAAAATCACACAACATTATTCTATTCGACTAAAACACAATTTTTTAGTTGAATAGAAACTTTTTTGAATGAAAAATATCATGTTTTTAAATGAAAAAAATTACACTTACCGGAATCGTAAATAGAATCTTTCCAAGCTTTTTCTGTGATATCTCATCTGCTATAATCCTTTAAGGTATAATTCCATGTACACCCAGGCCCATATTTAGGGAGGGCATGGACAGGCATGCCCGGGGGCGTCAATTCTCAGGGGTGGCGAAATATTTTAGCAAAATTAAATTAACAAATTATGTACCTAATGAAAGAAATAAAATAAAATAGTATGTTTTGTTATGGTAAAATTTGTAAATTAAAAAAAAAAATTGTATTTTTATCATATTATAATTTGTTAATTAAAAATAAAGGAAATTGAATGTTTTATTATGTTATAATTTATTATAATTTGTTAATTAAAAAGGTATTAAACGATTTTCATTTATAAGCTATATTTTAATATTAAAGAATCTCGATTATGTATGAAATAATAAGTGGTATATTATAATTATTTATTTTTTTTTTGGAGGGAGGTCATAAATTATATATGCGTGGCGCCAAATTTTTTAATACGGGCCTGGGCCCAAAAGTTTATTGATCTGTTTTCATGCAACCGGGCATTAGTCTGATTGTAGTACCAGACATATTAAATAAGTCTACTTTAATTTAATAATTGTACTGATAATTGTACTTATCTGTTAATTGTACTAATAATTAGAGGAGTTTCTGCTGTATAACTTCTAATACAAATACTTTTTCAAAAATAGTAGACTGTCTGGTTATAACATTAAATATTTCAATTCAATTGTATTACACACTTTCAGTCGAACGTTCTTGGTTTATGTCCGTTGCGTATGTTTGTAAATAGTGAAATCGTTATTGTTATAAATAATAGTGAACAATTTAATAAAAATATTGATTATTTATTGATTAAAAAACGTAGAGATAAAATATTTTTTTTGAGTGTCGAAGAGTATAATGAACGACTAAAAAAAGAAAAAAATTCTAAAATAATTTTGAATTTGCCTGGTTTAAAGAAAAATCCTAAATATTATAAAACGTTCATAAATACGACATAATATCAATATGTGAAAAATATCGACTTATATTGAGAGTGTACAATGTAACGAATCGGGTATCCTTTATTATGTAGATAATTACTAATTAGTGAATTAATGAATCATCAGGATCATTTAATTATGTTTGTTACCTTATGATCTCTTAAAACTAAGCCGGCAGAAAAAATTGTATTTAATTTAATGGATATTGATACCATTTTTGGAACACCAGCAATATTACACTCTGACCAGTGGTGGTTTCACGGTGGGTGGGTTAGGTGGACCGCCCTTCCCCCTTGAGCCGCGTAAAAACTAAAAATATGAATGAGCAAACAGTTTACTAAAAATCGTTTTGGTGATAATTTTATGTCAAAGCCGTATACTGTTTACAAAAACTTTTGCTCCTAAAAGTTTGACTGTTAATTAAGTTTGAATAAAAAATAATTATTGTTTTAATTTTTTTATTGATACCTATATTTTTATGTTATGCCATTGTGGTATAAAGTTTATAGAACTTAAAATTACTTCTCATGTATTAAGCAATAGGAAAAAATAAATGGGATATGTATGCAAATTTTAAGTATCTGCAACATATTTTCGCCACCCCCTCCTTTGTGGCTTCTCAAAAACCAACACTGACTTTGACTATGGTAGAGGATTTGTGAACTATATTATAAGAGAACTTAATGAAATGCGGAGAGATATTAATCATTCACGGAAAACCTCGACACAGTCAATCACTAGGATCAATAGAACGGGATAATCGAGATGTTGAAGACATGCTGGCTACTTGGATGGCAGAAAATAATTCAACAGATTGGCCAACCGCACTGAAATTTATTCAATTTTGAAAAACCATGCTTTCTATCAGGAGCGGCTCTAGAGCCTTGGTTAGAGGAAGGCCAAGTTATAATTTTACAAAATCTTACAACAAAAAGAAAACAACAATTTTTACAAAACAAATTCAAGTCGTCTATTTTTAAAATTTGCAAAAAATATCAATAATATGATCTGTTTGATCTAGAATATCTACTTTATGATGTACAATAATTAGACATAATGTTGATAGTCTATTTTCAGTCATCCTTGAATGAAGCTAGGTTTTTAGTCTTCGAAGTGTGGAGAAACTCTTTTCAACCGTCATACCTCTATAGCTCTATCTACATACTTGTGCGTGTCGTATGGATAGTCCATATTATAATATGAATTTTTTGTTAACAATATACATTTTTTTATAAATACGGTACGGGCTTGGGGGGACCGCGGCCCCTAGAGTCCCCTCTAGATCCGCCCTAGCTTTCCATTCAGGTGAGAATAAGTATTTATAAATAATTAAAATATATTATTAATTTAATAAAAGCAAAGACATTGCAACTAATAATTTAATTTATTAATGAAAACTGTTACAATTTAAATATAATATTTATTTTCTGGTATAGGAAGATTGACAAGTAAAATTAGGATTGACATCAGTTGGGGTCCCGTCAGATGCGATCACCAATTTTAATTCTGAAGAAGATATTTTAGCTATTATAAATAATCAACCAGAAAAATCGCATGGCATAAATTATGGTATATTATTTATTAATAGTATTATTTTTAGATTTGAAGAATAATTTAGCGTTTTTGATTACTTAGTTAATCAACGACAAGAAAACATACTTCATGTTCGTGAAGAATTGGTGAAATGGTTTGAAAAGCAGCCAAAGAAAATGATAAAAATATTGAATAGCAAACTCGAAAACATAAATACGGGGACCTACTGTACGAATATTGATTCCTGATATTAATAGGGCTTGAGGATCACCTCGAAATGTATTGGCTGTTGTTACAGAATGTTGTTACAGATGTTCAAGAAAACTTGTATAAATAATGCGAGTGCCTAACCATATTATAAATGAGACAGTATATAAATTTAATGTTTTTTTTATTAACTAATCATAAATTGTAGGTACAGATAATGGTTTTCTGAAACATAAGTATAAAAAAAACAGAATTAGTTCCTTGTGAGGAAAATTTTCTTGGCTTGAAAAGTACAATACTGTCAGCAAAGTAAAATGATGTAATTCTCCGAGAGGTTGTCGCCCATAACAGTATTGCTGGGAGTCAAGGTTATCAGAGGTGTTATTGTAAAACAAAATGTAAAAACAATCGATGTGCTTGTCAAGCAGCGAAAAAATTGTGTAACTTGAAATGCCATAATAGCTACTATCCTGTAAAAATAAATACAATTTTGAACTGTACTGATTTTTAACTTTTAATAAACAAAAAAAATAAATATTGTCAACTTTGAGTGTTAACCTTAGTCATTGCCAGTAATGTCTAGATAGTGTCAACATTGCCTAACCGAATCAGCAATTACCAGTAATGACTAGAATTTCCGGTATTAACTGATTGCCGACATTGGCGGTAACATATATCTAAATATTACAGACAGGCGTGTTTGGGACTGGAAGGATGTCAATGTATTTGTCGAAGTTCTCTTCCTGAAATCCTCTAACCATGAAATCCCTTGTGAAATTAAACAGGGTTCGTTATTTTTGTTTATATTCTACACTGGTTTTTGGTGGAAAGTAAAGAAGTAGTACAATAAGCAAAGTACACTGTTGATACTATGTAATTTATGTATTTACACGTGCGCATGAACAACACACGTTATATTTCAAATTCACTCAGCAAAACGTCTTAATGTTATACTATTAGTCGTCGAATAAAATCATTTAAAGACTCGATGAAAACATGTTCGAACAAATTATAAATAACACTCACGGACGACCGTATTTCCTACGTTGTTACGAGTATATTATATGTTTGACGACACGTTAAAACAATAGAAACATAAAAAAAAAATCTAAACTTGTCTCCCTTTTACAACTAGTGTATTTAGCGTGTGCAACCCGCAATGCATAATGTTATTGATTATATCATGAAATGTGTGAATTTTTTTACGTAAGCTCTCCTTTGAACAGTTAAATATATACCATAAATATTTATTAATCTGTTTTTTAAAAAAATTAAAAAAAATAATATAAATCTTCTAATAAAACCTGTACTGATTGATGCTATTAAATTATTATCAGTAAATAAATAAATAACATTCTTCGACATTAAATTATGTACACTCGAAAGTACGAAAACAATAACAATATTTATTTTCATTAACCTATCAAATCACTCGGGTTCGACATTTGAAAGATTGACCTATGTATTTTTTCTTCGGGTATAGCTTACATACACAAATGAATTGTTTACCTATGAAATTTGTTTCTATTAAATACTTAAATTACCGTAGCATATCCGCAAAAATCGTTAGCGTTACGAGTGCAACGTGAGTTTAATCGGAGCTCGTACAGCTATATTTATTTATTTTTTATTGAAATCAATTTAATATACAAATTAATTCTGTGCCCCACTGAGAAGAAGACTCGTGTAAGAGGGTCGTGCATTATAAATGTAATTATATAAAAATAACATTTCTAGTAGCATTTAATATATATCTAATTAGTATACGATTTAAATTAAATGATTTCACATTACCGTTAAATAAATATAATATTATTATACGTTACCATTGTGAAATGTTTTTATTTTTTAATACATTTAATGGAAGGTTTATTATACATATAGGACGGTAATTTATTAAGTTGTTTGGTACCGATTATTTCAAATTGTCTACCAGATTATTTATTTTTATTTTTTTAATAGTAAAACTCTTTTTTGCAGACCTTTATTCAATTCCGTGTAATATGGATTGAAATAAATTATGGTTTTTCAAATACATAGTAACAGTTTTTAGGTACAATTATAGTTAAGTGGTAACACATTTAGTTTTTATGTACATATCTTTTGTTAAGTATGTGTTTTCTTTGCTTAGCGATTTTGTAATCATTTGATTTTTACACATAAATATTTTAATGATTCCACTCTATATATTGTTGTTTATGCATAATATTTAGCGAGATTATAGTGAAATTCAACGGATATCCGAGGATCTACGTCAATTATAATCTATGCGCATCGAATTCTCAGTACAGTTAATCTTGATCTCCCAACGGGAGACGTTGTTGATTGAGATCTGTAAGTTATCAGTCACAATCTTTGGTTCTTACTGCATAATTGTTAAAATTTTTGTGTTGTCCACAAACATAGCGGCCGTTAAGGTTGTTGTTCAGTTGTCTGTCAGGATATCAGAAGCTTGAGCTACAAGGCTCTTAATCGAATATCTATTAATGTCCAGCTGTGGCTACGACCCTTCGTCGAGAAACACCAAAGTTGGGCATTTGTCGAATAAAAAACTATTCGATTAACTATGCCTATAAAAAAAGTTATTATTTGACGTTGAACTGTATTAAAACAATAATAATATTAATACTGTGACATTACTGTCTGTATTTGTTTATTTGATATAATGTACAATTTATATTTTGTTAATATTTTTATAGGTACAATTATTAACATATTGTTTCAAATTGATAACAAGTGTATCTTCTCTTCACTAATTCACAAATAAAATTAGTATTGAGGTGGTAGTTTAAATACAGTTTTCCCGTCTTTTTCGTCTAAGCATGGTACGCGAAGTATATTAAAGTAAATGCTCCCCATGAGATCTCCCGTTGGATGATTTGCTTTTTTCAAACAGTTGAAAAATGTTTTGTCACATATACAATGCGATCTAAAAAATAAAACATAATGGTTACATTTTTTTTTTATAAAACAATGCATATATATGCTATTATTTCCATGTATAATAATTGTATGATAGTCTATTATTAAATTTATTTATTGTTTATGCGCAATGAGTTTTGTAATTGCAATAAATTAATTATTATTAGATTGTCATAGAATATTTTGTACAATTCTATTTCATTTAAAAACTATTATGGGCTAATTGATATTTTTGCTATAGTTTTCGGTCAGATGAACATGTAATTGTTTAATTTTGGAAAAGTTAAATTCTATGTCATTCAAAATGAACCATGGGTAAAACTATTTGTTTACTGAATAAAGTTTTGTAAATAGAAAAAATAGCAAATTAAAATGAAATAAATATTATTAACAAAGTCTTAACTTATTTAATTTTTCAAGATAAAATTATAAATTACAAATTTAATAAACTGAACAGAAAATCGCATTAAATAATTTTATAATTAAATTGTAATTAAACATATTAAATTATAAATTATAATGAATTAAATGACTATAGTTTATCAAATTATAATATAGATCGAAGTTATTTGAAACACCAAGAAGTCTAAAACGTTTGTTACAATATCGCTTACATAAAAATATATATTTGTATTTATTTCAATATGATTTTAAATTTCTTCATTCGAGAGTAAAAAATGGGAAAAATTACATTTTATAATAATTATAACAATTAAATGAAAATTCTTACTTTGTATACATTGAGTTGTTGGTAACATTGTATCTGGTAGCATATGATCTGACTTTTGATGGACATAGATCGTGCGTTCTGCAACACATATCCAATTTCACTTCTGGACCTAAATCGAAATATGAAGTCGCTAAATCACCACTGCCACACCATTTTGTGCCTGAAAATAAGTTCAAGTACACGATAAGTTAAACGTGATTCGAATAGTACGTACTACAAACTTTATTAATGTTATTGCGGCGTAGAAAATTATTTTAATTCAGTTATAAAAATCTATTATCATTAATAATAATAACACCTACCCCTCGATTACAACACCATAGGCGCAACTGGGGGGTTAAGGGGCTTAGCCATCCCCCCCGACCAAGATTTAGCCCCCTATAAATATTCATTATCATACATGGCATACCACATACAGCATACTTAACTCACAATAGTGTCACATACAAAAAAAGACACATTGCCGTAAATCCAAGTTGGCTCAGAATCTATAATATATTTATATGATATATAAGAGTAGGAGTAATCTATAGGTTATTTTAAGTTATGGTAGGAAGGCTGTAGCTCCCCCCAGATTTTTTACCTTAGTTTCGCCTATGTACAAGACATAATATAAGTTAGGTTTTTTTGAGTATTTTATGATATATTATGGAATTTTAAGGAACGAGCAGGCTTATCAAATTTAAGAAAGTACCTATTTAGTAAACGTTTTTGTTGGTTTTGAAATAAAAAATTATGTTCTTGATTAAATTTGGGTTTACCAGGGACATTCAAATGATGAGAATAAATTAAGTAAAAAATTATGTTTTCATCATAGTTCACCTTGAAAATTTAATAATCATGGTAAAGATGAAAGACTCTTATATTATTGAATTTGATTTTAACGAGTGAATAATTAACAGAACCAGTTTTGGCAACCATGTGTCGCGAAGCGCCCACGGATGGTACGACAAGTGTCGCGATTGCCAACAAAGTTTGTCTGCTTTTAACCGTCTTCGTGGATTAGTTTATTTATTTATTTTTTTGTAATATTGTTATTACATTTGTATTGTATTTCTTTTATTTTTTATTATAATTAAGGCTTATTGATATTAACTTAACTTTTATTATTTTTGTTAATAATAATTGTTTTTTTTTTATTATCAATTGTGTTGTGCTATCGTGACAAGGTCATATGCAGGGCCGTCACAAGGAGGGCAACGGTGCCATTATATCTCAGGTCTCAGTATAGGAACATTTAAATAGGACCCTCCTAAAGTATTTTTCTTTATGAAATATTTTTTTTAATTTTTTTTTAAGAGGCCCATTAAAATATTTGTTTATAAAATATTAATAAATTTAATTAAATAAAATGAACTTAAATTTAAATTTAAGTGTTATTATACAGGCTACATTTTAAGTTATTCTAATTTCTAAATATTTATTTATTACAGTTATTGCTAGAGTGTGAAGAGTGACAATTTTATCGAAATTTACGTAGAAATTTATTATTGCAAATATCAACGTGACAACATACAAGTTCTTATTTTGTATGGCTGTTTAAAAATGATCTAAGAATAAATTAAATTTGTATTAAATATGGTAACTGGTAATACAATGTTGAGATGTTATTAAAAATATGATTCTCTGTACCGATGCATTTAAATTACTTTGATTGGTTGAGGTTTGGAAAACTATATTTACCAACATTTTGCAAACTTGGAGTGTATTTTTTTATTATACTTGTATATTATTGTGATGATTAAAGGACCCCCGAATTAATTCACCCAAGGCACTAAAAATTCTTAAAACGGCCTCTAGTTGTATGAGTACTTAAGCTAAAACTACTTTAACTAAATTCAACTTTTTAAAATAATACTTATTATGAATAAACATTTTTTATAGAATAGACTGTCTAAAATCCAGTATACAAAAATAATTTTTGTAGTCTAGTCCAAAGAAGAAATTGTTTGACCGATGACAGATTGTTTGAAATTAATAATTGTGATGAGAACAACAAATAGTGGTTACGAGTGATGGTTATGATGTAATAATGATGACTACGACTACTACAAATAATGATGATGAAAATAATTAGTCCTATTCAATATACCTATTAATATGTTCTTAACTATATTTTATGTTATATTATTTAAATCAATTTTCTACTGTTATATCCAACTAATTTAAAAAACGAATACCCTTTGTGGTCATTTGTTTGACCTTATTAAATATTATTTTGATTTAGATGAGTATAAAAACATGCATCAAGCATTATTAAATAGCTAATAGTTTTTAACATGAGGTCATTTTATTTCCGTTTAAGGCACTATTTGTTTTTCTTATAAGCGCTAATCGTCATAATAAAATAATAACACAAATAGTTATTTCGTGGTATTACCTCTGCATGAGTGATGTGTAAAGTATTACATTCGATTTAAAAAGAACGGGGCTATACATTGTTAGCTATAATTGTATCGATTGAAATAATTCGGAACGCATTTACTCGTCATTCGAATGCATTCATGTATTAAACTACCGTGCAGCGAACAGACGATTTGAAAATAACGTCTTATAATTGTAAACAAAAAAATGGTATAATATCGAAATCGGTACACTTGAACTGTATAAAATATATATTATATGTATTACTTCGAGTTTATTGCGCCTGTCATAATCCGGTAAATTTTTATTTCTACACGTGTTAACTTCGAACGGACTAATTGTGTTGCAGTAGCGTGCTGCACATTTCTTTACACTTACATTATATTATACACTTACTGCATAATTTTAACTGTACAATATTATAACAAGTACGTAATTACGTAAGAAAATATCACTCCTTTGCAATTTGTTGTACTTCAAGTTTTCGCTAATTGTTTTGCTTATGTTTTCGTTTATATTTGGATACAGTTTTTTGATCAACACCAAGTCGAGTTATTTCGTCAATATCGTCAGATAGAGAGAGGAAAAAAGGTGATTGAGAGATATTTTGTGTTTTAAAAAAGAGGGATTAATAATTTTCGTTGTTTATGTCCTTTATACGATCAACACCGTGTTGATAATATTATAAAAAAAAATCAAAGAGTTTCTTTTGGGTTTTTCATATTACTGTAATATATAGTATAATATATTATTAACAAGTGTGATTAGTAAATTTCGAAAGTGAAAACGGAATCAAACGGTTTACCGACGTCTGACAGTATGTAGGTAGGAATAATATTATTTTAGTAATATTGAACCTTGATTTACGATGGTCGATAAATACGTATTAATGGTTTTAATTGAACATTCAAATGCAAAATATTTAAAAAGATACATAAAAATTAAATATTGAACTAATAATTTTTTACTTATTAGTATTTAAAGTCTAGATTGATAGGGTAGTGCAGTGGGGAACTAGGGGAGGGATTGTCAGCCCCCTAGAATATGTTGTTAAGTAAAGTTTACATCGTTCTCAACAAACATCTTTTATAATTAAATTTTTTTTTAATGTAAACTATCCTCCTCCTCTGTAAATAAATCCTGGTAACACCACTGGGGTAATACATCATTATATTACAAATTATCAAAATACCACCTACACCCATCCAATCTTCTCGTTTAATGTTTAATAATTAACTACTTACGGATATACGGCTATTACTTCGACTTGAAATTACATTTTTGGTATTCAAAGAGAAATATTTTGTTATCAATTATGAAATTAAAATTAAACAATGTCATTTAAAACGAAAGAATTATTACGGTAAAAATTGCGAAAATATCTACTTGATTAATTCAAAAATACACATATTTTTAGAAAATTAGTGTTTAACAAATTCCCTAGCCTTAGGTAGGTAGCAATTCATAGTAATATACGTACGAACACATTTTAGGAGATAATTATTGCATTCATCGTCGCAACGAATATTAGAAAACCTGTATAATATATTTGTTCATGTCAGTATTAATTTTGGTTGACACGCATTACACGTTAATAGAAAGTAATACGTTTATGCGGCGCAGTTAAAATGGTTCTGAAATTAAAATGCATTCACTAAAAAAACGCTTTCAAAATTTTTACGAAATTAAAACGCACGTGTTATGAAGTTTAATTAATCAAAATCGTTTTGCATTCATAGTTTAAAATGCATTTTAATTTCAACATGATGTATTACTCTTTTTGGGTATTTTAAAAATATTATTTTTATAATTTTCTAATCATGATGTTATAAACATTTAATTAATATACATGCAAATAACCAAAATAACTTATATATAATTTATCAAATATTTTATGGGTAAGATCGTACAATAATATTTGACCTACGAGGGACGATATCGCTACACAAACACTTTGGGACATGGGAATTCAGTATTTTTCAGTCATTATAGCATGGAACAAATGATTCAGTTTATGAAACAAACAAATTAACATGTTTTATTATACGTAGCTGATTTTGATGTATATTACTAATAAACAGCCATAATTGCGTCTTAAGACAAATCGATTGAAATTGACAAAACGATTAGGTTTCGAACCAATTTTGTCAACATGTTACATTTAATACTTACTAATACTTATACTATACTATACATACTAACACTTCAAACGCACTGATAAATTAACACAGTGTTACTATAGATATCACAACGATATATTTACCTGGCAATATTCCCGAGTACAATGAGTTGGACGTAGTCGTTTGGATTCCGTTCGAGTCCGTTTCACCACCGGAAGAGCCGATCGAACGCAATTTAATTTCTTCCGGATTCACTTGGTGTGGGTCTAATAGATCGCATTGGCTTATTAGATTCATCATTTGACTCAAATTGATTGGTAACGGCTTGTTGATCCTCGTCAAATTTTTCAGCATTACTTTGCCTTCTTCGTCGTTACTATAAAATATAAGTTTAGTACGTCAATAATTATTACAATAGGAAATAAAAACATGTTGTACAACTATTTTAGAAGCCGTACACGCTTATAACTTATATTCTATTACAACGTAAAGCGATAATAAAGAACGACGGGTAAAAATTAAACTTAGTTAAAATCATAGCATGTTTCGAAGAGTGAAATGTATAGCATAATTATTTATGTTTTTAATCACTGGTAGAGTTACTCGCACACAATCGAGCAACGTGCGCAGAAAAGAATTCCAAATTTTTCCAATATTCATTACCATGACCTTGCTATGCGGTCACGGTCTATTGTCGTTTCGATTGCACATGCATCTTTGGTGGGAAAAAAATGCTATTTCATTTTGTACTCTCGGTAACGTTAATTAATCGTTTGTTGTAGAATACCTATCGCTAAGCCAATAATTAAAATAATTCTGCTTGCTTATGGTCTGAGAAAACCCGAATACTGACACAAGGACAATGTTACAATATGCTACTACTGGTTTATTTAATTTTCAATTTTATCTGTTCTAGTTTCAGTTGAGTGCCTACATCACAGAACCAGTAGAATACATTATTCCGACGTTCACATTCAAGATGATTACACGTTCCGAGGAAAATTGTTATGCTAAATTATGTAATTCGATGTTGTACCGGTGTAACTATAATACTTTTTTCAAACATTTATTGTAATGAAAAATAACTCATCTGAAATCTTAATATGATGTATATATTATATATTTTTGTGTAAGTTATTAAGTTCTAACTTGTGTACTAAAATCGACGGGCTAGAAAAATAATACAAAATTATAATTCAAAAAAATATCTTTTCATATGCTTGATGTACTTATAATGTGGTTGGTGTTTCATTAAACAGATGATAGATATAGTACAAGTACAAAGTTTCTAACAGAAACTTTATAATTCCGAAATAAAATACCAGAAAAAATTACAAGGTTATATCTTTATTTCGTGTTTCGATTTTGGTCATTTACAACTTTCTCGAACATGGTAACAAATTTTTATGATTTAAATACTATAAATATTTGAATTAACTATAAATTTCAAGTTTTCATCCGACGGCATAATGTTTCTAGCGAACATCTTGTTGCGACCTGAGATATATTTTTTTCTCTGTTTGGAAAAAAATTGCATAGGCAAAACTAAATAAGTGCAAATAGTTTTACCATTTTACTTTGAAAAACAAAACAGAATTAAAATAATATTATCAATTGCCATTGTATATTTCATTTTAATAATATATGATGGAAGGTACAATGTTGTATTCAAATTGATTCGCAGCGTTAGGGAAGTTTTGACGTATTCTGACTTAGTAACATTATGAAAATACATGGTTATAAGCTGTTTTTTAATTTATATATATAAAGAAACTTGCGACAGCATATGTAAACATGCATAAATAATCGCGTCAACGGATTTTGAAATGTCGACAAAACAACATGCAATACATATCATAACCGGTTGTTGTTGATTCGGCTTGCTCTATTTGAGTTTTTCATAGATGCGATTTTACACTAATGTTTAACGGGACCACTGGGTAGTCTGCGTATTAATATTGCATATATTCTCGTATTTACATGGAAACATACTAAATTACCATTACAGGTCGAATAAATTGAACGACTATGAGGCGACCGTCTGCCTTAAGATACGATACTATGTTAATTAGTAAGTCCAAGGTGTTTATCCCAAGAGTTAAGTAGGCACATTTGAAATCATTGTGAGACATATACGCGTTTACGGCAATGTCAGTCGCATTTGCACGGAGGGGTAGACTCTTATCAACGCCGTAATGTATTAAGAAAAATAAACCTTCTACATTTTTTTACTTATTGTAATACGTATTCAGTGTTTGATCGTGTATTACATAAGATGTCGTATGTGCAAATTGAAATGCACGTGAGTCCTCTACAACTGACCACGGTTCGCGATATCCTATTTCATATAATGATCCTATTTTCTGAACAACATGATACTCTTTAACAAAAAGTAACTATAATGGCCACCTGTTGTTGGCTATAATGAATAGTTAGTTATACAATTTTTTTTTTTAACTAAACACTTTTTTTAACGTCTTTTTGTACAACAGTTTAGTTAGTTTTCATCCGATAAATATATACACTACAGCCGTTGGCTACATATCGCTAAGTTTTCACAATATTTTACAAAAATCCGTTTGCTATTGGTTTCGATTTTAAAGGAAAACGCGCAGTACATTACGCGAATTGCCGACTATGTCAAGACAAATTATTTTTTCACAAATATACGATGCGATAAGTAAACATAATATTTTCGATTACATACGTCCGCGGTCTCACGTCGAAACATATCTAATTATTATTTCAAATATCGTCCTAAAAACGAAGTGTTAAAATGGAAAAAGTACATATGAAAAATTCAATACGATTTTAAATGTATTAACTATACGCCCAATGTTATTCCACTGACCAAGTATGCGTGTGACGTGCGGGATGCGACTCGTTCGCGCACCGAGTGGAAATAAAGGTCAACACGAATTCGGATGATACCTATAAGTGTATATACAATTCAAGTGCAGCAATCATTCAATTGTCGCATGACCGCAGTTACTTCCGGTCTGCAGCAAATGGACTTGTGCTACGTTACACGCGTAAGGTCGGGAAAAAAATTCGATTCGGTTCGCGACGACCGACCAATTTACATCAATCACGTAATGTCATATGAGCACCACAAACTCTTAAATATACATTTATACACTGTTTACAATTCCAATGGTATTGCACGAACACTGAGAATTACGTTGTTCAGAATGAATTTATATTATTATTATTATTATTATTATTATTATGATCGAGTCTCAGTGCCAAAAAATAAAATCGTTAAATCCGAAACGTGCGCGACCCTGATTCCGGATCGGTGGCGCCGTGGCGGAGACGCATCTATACATTGTATTCGCTCGCGGTGATCCGAAATGGCTTCAACGACCTTCGTGCAACTAACGTCCGTCAGTCGTGTTTTGCCCATTGGTCACCTATGGTTGTTCGTGCCCGACAACGTGATAAATAAATTAATAACAATATAATGTTTAGTGTTGCTTAAATGTCCTGTCGCCGTCGTTAACGCCCCGTCGTGTTGGAACGAACAGAACATCACGAGCACCATTATATTAACACCGTGGTCCGGATGTAACTACCGTCACGAAATATTTTTATTTCTCTCTCTCTCGTTATATTTTCATCACTCAAGTTTTTGAATTTTTTACTCTCATTTTGATCATTTCCTCCCTCTATTGATTATATTATTGTATTGCGTACGCGGGTTGACATTGAACGGTCGTGAAAGCAATGCTGATTCCAATCGGGAGAATACGGTTTGTGCAGGAATCGGTTGTCCGGACGTCGTGACAATAATAACAATACCTGCATCGATCGGGAGATAATCGCCGCGGCGCTGAGTTATGCGAAACATTACCGCGGAGACCGGAGAGTTTTCTTTTCCGTCGACAAAAACGTTACAAACTACGCGCGGCGAGACGACACTTTCGTTTTTTCCGGTGCTCGTCGGTGCGTGATAATCGCGGCATACCGCAGACATTTTCTAGACATCTGCTGACCAAAAACGTTGGACTAATATAAACGCGAACGACATTTAATCGCATTCGTGCACGAATACAAAATCAACCGTCACCGCGGACGATCCGTGACGGTTGAACGTTTCAAACGATAGTTTACGATTGTAATAATAGAACTCGGAAAATTGCAATAACGATATTGTGTCGTACGCGATCGATTATACTCGTGCCTTCGATCCTATATGGCTATTAACATACCAGTAGGTACATCATACTCTTTCGTCATAAATCACGCGATAAAAACAAATATGGTAGATAAACAGTGCTATTATAATACATTTTAAGTAACGTTTCGCCAAACAGTATGGACATACTATAACGCCTGGGTTTGTGAAATATTCACAGTAACTAATCTTGAGCACGGAAATCCGAGGTGGTTTCAAGACGAAAATAAGCGGAAAAATAGAAATACCATACGATTCGTACCGGGTGCAAAACCCGAATTATCGGTACAGCATCAACAATATAGATGGTGGTATTGGTAGTCACGCGGTACATATTTTCCTATAGCATGTCGCACGCGTTCCGTTCGCCGAAGATTGTTTCTTCCCGTCGGATCACGAAGCACCCCCTTCCCGTTCGAAAAGCAAATCGGTTTTCGTAAAAAAAAACAGCTTTCGCCGTGGCGCGTGCGCGGAACCAACGGGAATCGTCAGAAACCGACGGGGGCGCGCAAAACCTGATGGTTTAAAATTTCGCGCGCGAAACGTAACGCGATCTTGGCGCGTCGACCGTCCGCGGGGCGCGCGTTGCGCACTCACTAGATCTCGATGAGCTCGCAGTTGAGCAGCGACTTGCCCTCGCCGATCTCGACCACGGCTATGGTCTGGTCGTGGTAGTAGATCATGCGTAGCGACGACGGGTTCACCTTGTACCCGGTGTACGACTTGGTCGGGCTCTTGACGGCGCGCACCGCGCAAAAGACCTGGAGCAGCAGCAGCAGCAGCAGCCGCACGAGCGGCGGCGCGGCAGGACGTCGGGCGAACGACGACATTTCGGGCCGCGGTTTATCGGTGCACTCCCGCGGTGGACGACGTGTACGTGCAAGGTGCGTGCGTACGCTGTGTGTTCTCGTGCACGGCTGCTGTCGACTACATGACATCCAGCAGCGGTGTCGGTTCGTAAGATCGCGGGATCGTAGACGAACCTTTCTGGCCTGCTGCGGGAGTAAGAAAAAAAAAAAAAAAAACCAAAATCAGATCTTGACTTACTGCAGGGGGGGGGGGGGAGAGAATATCGTAAGTTGTCGACACCGGAACGGCCCGAAGATCGATCGCGAGACGATTACGAACGTCGTTTACGACGCGTCGTACCTAAGCGCGCACGAATATTATCCGCATTCGAGAAACACCGAACTCCGATGGTGTACGAGCACTGCGCAGATAATCGATCATGGCGTTGTAGTCGAGGCGTGTAAAAGTAGCGGCGCGTTTTCCGCGGGCGGGGGAGGGAGTTGAACTTTTATAATAACGACGTAACATCATAAGAAGTACGTACGAATCGATAACTATATTATTCCGATATCGTTGCAAAACGGTTTTATTTACAACCGCGTTGTATGAATCAATGTTATGTTTCTCGGTACCTTCGTAGCGAGCCGTTTATGAACCTTTATTTTTTTTTTCTACCGGGCAGCGTTCGAGGACCCAAGCGAGACCCGCCCCTCTGAAAACACGTCGTTGCACACGAGACCTGTCTTCGCGCCGTTGCGTTACGACACCGTAACGGCGAGCGAGCGCGCGCGGATTATTATCGGAAAACGAAATCGCTACGTTTACTTTGCACCGCGAGCGACGATAAAAACGGTCGACGTATAATTTTTATTGCACCGCGTCGGACGCGTTTCACGTTCGTCGTAAATCATTCGGCGACCGTATCCGGATCCGTTTGTGGACCGCGCACACAATGGCCGTTCGGTTGGGCGCTTGTGAATTGCGCCCACATTAAGCGGGTGGTAAAAATACTATAGTAAATTGCGCCCGGGACTTTTCGGGGTCTAAAATGGGCTAGTAAACTGCGCCCGTAGTATCTACTATCTAAGTAACCTCATATTTATAATTTTATGGATAAAATATTTGAGTTACATTCTGAAATTTATAAAAAAATTAATAGTATAAACGAACCATATAGATTCATACATTTTATTTGTTTCTACATTTCAAAACACCAAATTAAAAAAAAAATTTAAAAAATGGAAAAAATTATTCAACAATACAATGAAAACACTATTAAGAGGGCTGAATATGTGAAGATAGTGTCTCATTACTAGGCAGATAACTTATAACTGTACTTTTTATTGTTATCGTTTTTAACCTGACAAAAAATATTTAAAAAACCATAACTAATACAATAATATTAAAAAAAAAAATTAATTTTCCTATTTTTATAAATTTATTTATTTATTTCAAGTAAGCCAAAAAAAAACATTTTTGGAGGACAGTTATAGTCGCCTCCTCGTGGTGTCCTCTGGGTAATGCTAATTGACCATCATAGGAATAATATTTCTATCGGGCGCAATTTACGACACAAAAATGTATACCTGAAAAATACCGAGCGCAATTTACAATTGTTTCCCTTCGTTGGGCGCAATTTACGTTTGCCCGTTCGGTTCGAATTTCGCGCGCCATAAAAATCGCGATCCACAAACGAGAGACGTTCAACGACGTACGTAGTACCACTGTGGCCCAAAATAGCAGTAAACGTTATCGCGATGATCTTACCGCAATACCGTGTGTGTCGGTGGCGTTCGTTGCTTGACTGCTGCTTTTCTTTATTTTTTTTCAATTTTTATTCCCGCGGGCATAAGGCGAACAACGCGACTCGTCTTCGCTCGGACACCGTACGAGGGGCACTATACGGTTAACGCGGAGCTGCCGGTTACACGATTCGTACTGTAACCGTCACAATGCGACTAATGTTGTACGGGCGCGCCTGCACCACGCACTGCTCTCCGGCACAGTGGTAATAATTGTTGATCTCTGACCTCGAACGCGTATTATTTTACTATCAGAGTGAGAGGATTATATTTTCAATGACGGCCGGCGGCGGCGTATAACGGTTCCTGCGAAGAAATTTAAAATATACGTACATAGTATTATGATCGAGGATAACAATGTACACACATCGTGCCGGTGCGAGACGATGCCGACAATGACGGTACGAGCAACAATAATACTATACACCACTCGGCATAGGCGTGTCGTGATAAAATATATTATTTACATATCGCTGTAAACATGGACGTCCGTACGGTTCGAACCATCAGATTTACCGCGCCTAAACACCATGCGTACATATGAGTGCGCTACAACTGTTTAACACTGAGCCCCCCCTCCCGAGGGCGTAAGTGTACGAGATTTTGGAAATCAGCCGAAAAACGGTGTCGTTGCGAACGAATTTTTCACCATCTCCGCAAGAAGTATGACACAAACACATAATCCTCACAATTTTTATATCGAAAGTATACATTTATACGTCGATCGGTAAAAAAAAAAAAAAAAAAAAACGATCCAAATGACATAGTACGTACTACGAGATAACCGGCAGTTTAAGTATTCGACCACACGAGTGCTGAATGTTTCTCTGACCGTTTATGGTAATGCGATATAATAAACATATACATTTCGGTACAAGAGACACTGGCGAAAATTGTGATCACCGATCGACAAACACAATACTTCGCTTGGTCCCTAATTTTTTCGTTCATCACTTTTTCTACTATTGATTATAATAAATACATTTGATGCAATAATAATCATTACATCCAATATCATTTTACTATTGTCACCATATTATAATATTCCAAACAATAATGAAATTTTTTCGATGATATTTTATTAATAGTTTATTATGACTAAAATTAAAAAATATTTTAGAGGTTTATGCGCTCTACTGATAACAGTATGCCTAGTTATAAACAAAATTCCATTGCTATTAAAAGTAATATAATATTGTGATATAAATAAAATTATAATAATTAAAATAAATCGTACATCACCTTTTATAAGATTGATGAAATTAAGTACATTTGGTATGATAATAATCGATCATTAAAATAATTATAATAATAATACAATAATTATAATGAAGGATTACTATCGCACCAAATGTATTTGGTTTAATAATTAGAATCCATTAGTATTCACATTAGTATGTATTAAAATAATAATTATGTAAAAAAAGTTAAGCGCATACATTGAAATACATAAAAAAATTCATATAATTTGTTTCTATTATACCCTAGGCGGCCACAAGGGTCAAAATATACTCTTATTCTCCAAAAATGCATTATTTCTTTGTACCTGTAAAATTATGTTATGTTAAAGTTGATGATTTTTAATGTCTCGTCTGGTTCTATTATTTTATTAATAAGAATACTCAATATCAAATCAATATAGGAGAATTTAATGAATAATATATATTCTATTAGTGTTCCAATGAATAAGACGTGTCAATGTCAAACAAAGTAAAAAATTACTATCCTCGTCAGCTCCCGAATCAACGACCTCGTGATTCTTCTAGCATTAGAAGTAAAAGGGAACAACGATAGAAGCACATAAACGACCAACAATTGAATGAAAATGTAATTTCCTTTTACTTAATTTAAAAAAAAAAAATCACAGAAAATTTCCCGTCACATGCCTCCCTCGTATAACATATTTCATTGAGTAATTTTATTCGCAATCACTATACAATTCGCAGCTTGACGCCCGGAACACGACAGATAATGATATCGGCCCAGCAGTACATAGTTACTGTGTATATCACGCACGTGAAACTAAACGGTTCAGCGATTGGTACAAATATTTTATGTAATTGTTCGTGAATTGCTCTTAGCACATAATAAACGGAATAAGTACGATTTAAAAAAAAAAAAAAAGTTGTCTCCTAATCAACACGGTGAAGTTATTATTATAAATTTCGTAGTATGACGTTTGTACTGAACTATTTTAGATAGACTCTATTGTGTGATTTAATGATAACAGGTAAAAACAAGTATACAATTTTCCAGTGGATTTATTTATTTATTTCTATTTGTATTGTATGAACAAAATAATTCCTTTAAACAAATATGTTTCTAGTTCATTTCTAGTTCATTTAATATTTTAAAAGAGAAGGCGATTTACAGCTACATATGTAAATATCATTAATGGCTTTAATTTTCTTACGACAATTATTAGTATAACAATTTTATAAGTATATATTTAATAATACATCACATTTCTCAATTCATTATTAAAATGATATGCTGCAAAATATAAAATATTTCATATTTATTGAATATTTATATGTAACGATACACTTAATGACCAGTAAAAATATACTAAAATTCGATAAATTTCCAAATATTTAACTTCGATAAAAATATACTCGTACAACTAGGTTCAATTATATTTATAGATACATATAACATGTACAATAATTATAGTCCTCACAAGACAATGTAAGTCATAGGTTCAATTATTTAAAATATTACCGACCTAGTAATCGCTTTAAATCAGAAAAAATACAGTTGATTCAGAATAGTGTGAACCAAATATTACGTGATACTAATGGGGAAAAAATGTATACGTCCTCTTGAATTTGGTGTCAAGGACGAATTTAATCAAAAAAATCATAATGATGGATGGTAAAAAGGAGTTTTCAGGTTTGATATTCACTGCATTTATACACTGCGAACAGAATAATGTGAAACTTTCATCGCAAGAAATCCGGTTTCTTTTCGCAGAGTTTTCGTAAAAAAAAAAAACAATTACATACTTTCTACTATCAAATATTCGTTTACGCATAAATTGGATATAATACCTGATATTATATTTGTATGAGATTTTAAAGTATGCGTTTAATATCAATAGTCAGCGATACTTTTCATAAAAATCAATGTAAAATGGGAAACTTTTATCATACGAAAAATCCTAAAAAACATTTTTAATTGTAACTTTTATATTCGTTTTTATAGATCGTTTTTTTGTATGGCGTGTACTTAACAAATATTTTGGGGAGGGTTACAAAGTTTTCAAGTACTACGATAATAACAATTATTCACATAAAACATTTGATTTAGTTATCTGTTCCATATCTTTTACATGGACAAAACTATTAATTTTTTAGTCTATGCATAAAAGTATAAACATTTTTTCACAATCTCGGATGAGAGAGAGGAATTTGAATCTCTGAAACTCTTTCTCTTGCGTACGGGCCTGATCCATTTAGATGCAATGTAGTCAAAACAAAGTTGATAGTTAAAATCTAGCAATATGATGTTGTAATATATGTTATTCGAACTATGTTTCGAAAAGAAAAAAAATCGCCGAAACTGACGGTCATGGTGTTGCTACCATACCAGGTGTTAAAATACTATAGTTTTAATGCGTGACGAACAACAAGCACTGGTATATTTCATGCGTTGTAAACTCGCTAAACGTCGTAGAAAAATTAATGCTATCTACAATTGTATCTATTGAAAAATGTATTAACAACATACGACTGTAAGCAAAACTTACGAAAACTGTACACAGTTTTGAACAATATTATACTATAATTAATAGCAATATATAAATTTAATAATATTTATTTATTTATTTGGATAAACGCCTGGTTGGCTCAAGTACATATTTATAACATAATTAACAGAATTTCGTATAACAAAAATGGTTTGAAAGTGTGATACAATCATATAGGTGTGGTATATAAGATAAGCAATAACATAACAAGTACATACTCGGATAAATATTGCTATTTGGACAAACTAGTGATTTAAATAATGACGTTTTAGATTTGACACATTATTAAAAAATAAATCAAAATTTCATATATTTTCTAATACTAAGAGTCTATTAAGTGGATTATTTTATCCATAGTGGAATGTGTTTTAATATGAAATGTGCATGAGCGGGTATTATATTGTGGTACGTGAAACGAAATACATTTCAGAATTGGAGGGCAAAATATAATAATATATCAATAATATATTCATTAAAAAAGCTTATAAATATGAATAGTCCAGACTTAAAAATTGATTATTTGAAAAATATTTTATGGTGTTATACTCGTAATTCCATAATTATTCGTTTAATTTTATGCCTCTAAGTAACTGTACTCCTATCTTAAAAGAAACATATATTATAACCTCTGATGTAATACTATACTATAATTATATCGAAATATTATAAAATATATACATTGTATTTATCTATAATTTTTAGGTAAAATAAAAAATATTTTTCATTATCTATATTAATACATTTTAAGATTATCATAGAAATATTTATAATTTTAAGAACCTTTGCCGAGTAAAAATAAATTTTGACCATTTTTTTGATGAAAAAAAATATTCGTCCAGAATAATTCAACACTACATATTTAAAAATGAAATGGAAACCTGTAGTGTACTGAAAATTTCACAATATTTGTCTTTTACAAAATTATTGAAAATATTCTACTTCCTACCTTAAATGATTCCGTAATAAATGACAATATTTCTAAAAGTGTTGTCTACATTTTAGCAAGTTTTATGTTAATTTTCTATTTATTAACTTAATTGTTTCAACAAACTAATATTTTTAGAATGTTTTTAAGTATTGTAATTAAAAGTAATAAAGTAATTAAACTTAATTAAAATTAATTATTAAAACATATGTCAAGTAAAAATAAGTTTTTACAATAATATATTGAGAATGGCTACAAAGATTCAGATGTTAGTAATGATAACTGTTGCGATAACAAGACATCCTGGCGTGATTTCAGTCTGCTAATTCTATTTTTTTCCCCCAATTTTATAATGGAGGACTCTTTCAATTGAGTTGTTTTGCGTGAAACTTTTTAAATTTGTCTTTAATCCTTATGTCCAGATAAGGTATTTCTATGTCATTATGGAGCTGTTTGTTACGCATACGCCAGGGTACTTTAAAGACTATTCTTAAGAATTCATTTTGAAGGGTTTGAAGTTTTTTTATTTTTGAGAGGTAGCTGCCCATACTGGGCATTGCGTATGTTATTAGCGGTTGATTGCTGTGTATAGAATTAAAGAGCATTTCATCTACAGAGTTGAGCTTTGGTTTA